ATGGGCTAATCTCCCGTTTGCCACTGTCTGCCTTTTCTGATTAATACTTTTCCTGGATCCTTACAATCAAACAATGGACCTCATCCTAAGCTGATGCAAATCAACAAAGCTCAGCTGACTTCTGTGGAATATGCTGACTTATACCATGTGAAGATCTGGCCCAACAGCGGTAACATGGTGCACTTGGAGTCCAGTGCAGTTTAAGGGCTGGATCCAATGCCTATTGAAACCAATGAGAGTCTTTCCACTGACTTCAAACGGAAGCATTTCAAGAAGGTCCAAGAATAAGAGGAGCCCAATGAAATTACAATTAATTGTAATAGATCATTAATCAAAACATTGTCAATGCAAGGTTTGTTTTGTAAAGAACAAACACCGACCAATCCAGGAGGAAATAACAGAATTTATTTTTGTTTCTCCTCTTCACTGCTGCCTAGCATATTAAATACCTAGGCGAAAATGCAACTCATTTGCTGCTCTATGTTCAATACCTGCTATGCACTGTTCAATACCTGCAGTGCATAGTTTCAAATAAAAAGCAGGCACTTAAAAGAATAATGTTGTGTTCTAGCTCAGCACAGTGATGGCTGACCATGACAGCGGAAACTTTAAAATAAAGATAATCTGTACTCATTTAGAAAACTTTAGGGAAGGTGAAGAAAACCTGAGGCTTCTGGTAGGTATTTCAGTGTAAGTCCATCTCCATTTTGAAAATGGAAACAAGTGCAAGTGATCTGGATGCTAGGATGTTTGCATTGTTCTGTGAATCACATGGATTCCATTCCATAGCTGCCTGGAACGACAAATGCAAAACAGCAGTGGCGCAAAACCAGGGTTTGACATTTGCATTTGAAGGCAATATCTGCAAATCGTTTGGATATGATCTTTATGGCAAGTGAGTCATGCTATTTTCATGGAGTTTGTTTTCATGTTTTTGCTGAATGCACAGAGTGCCCCTTACAGTGTTGAAGTTCTATGGCCTCTGTTATATAGGACTAGATGATCACAATGGTCCTTTCTGGCCTTAGAATCTATGAACGTCCCCTCCAAAAAGCATTAAATACAAAAGCAACATTTACTAGTTTCATCAGTTACTGCTTGTCACAGTGCTATGCCAGACACGCAACAGAATCAGCATTTAAGTGCAACCATATTAAGAGTCCAACTGACTATTTATTCCTGGGTGATTAGAGAATAGATACAAGGGGAATAAGTAAACACTGGAACTAGAGTCAGTTCTTACTAAGAAATGCAGTGCCATCTGTTGGAATTATCTGCAATATCACCTGGACAAGATGTACAGGAAGCTAAGACATTCCATACCAGAATAGCTCAATGTCTCATCTAATCTGATTGCCCACTCTATATATGACTGCAGGAGGTACTTGCATGGATGCCATCCTGAATTGTGCCCAATTTCAGGGTTGATGTTTTGCCACTCTGCTGTCAGAACCACCTTTCCTGCTTTGAATAATGCAGGCATGCCTTCCTGGATCACAACCGTATCTGCTGGGCAGCTGTACTGGTTATTACTAAGATTGGCTCCAGAATTATCAAAAACCAGGCCAGTGATTGAAGCCCCCATGTCTTGATCACTGTATGAATGTCCTTTATTATTGCCCCACTGTTACCTATCTAGTCTCCAGAAGAGCAGGTCAGATGTAGGGTCACAGAATTAGTGTCAGTCTAGGGGATTGTACCTGTAAAAATAACTATCCAAATGCCAGACAGAAACTTCTGTATATAACCAGAGGTTGTTAATAGGGTTAATCAGTGGATACCCAGAAAGTATACGTCTCACCATCTGAGCATCTTTGTCCTGGAAAAAAATCCTGGATAGAACATGCCCAAAGTTTGGATAAATTTAGATCTGGTTCCAGACCTGAAATTTGTGATATAGGCCCATCTCTAAGGCCCAAACCAACCCTCCAGATCGAAATATCCCCAAACTTTGGTCAAGTTTGAATTCAGATTCAAACTTTCAAGATGAGTCCAAGGAGGAGTCTTACTACAATGCCATAAAATATAGCAGATACTTTTGATTAACAGATTTCCATCTAGCCTTGGGGCTATATCCTGCCTTACTTCCTGGCCTGCATCTACTATGGACACTAGTAAGACTTTGTCCATGGGTAAAGGATTGTAGGTGAGCTTTTAACAATAAAATTTCTCATAATCACGTTTTACTTCCTTGTTTATATAAAATTTATTGGGCCCAATCTACCAATACTCTGTGCAGTCATTTGCACCAGTGCAAAATGAATGTCACATGTTACCCTTTCTAATTTGGTAGTACTTTGCCCAGGTATCAATAACTGTCCAGGGCCATAGTGAATGCGGCCTTAAATTCACATTATTAGTTCAAACCTGTATTCTCATCAGAATCTTTTGTTCAGTGAATAAAATTCCATTGTAAAAGGATAATTGCCAAAAGCAAATTACAGAGTATTCTAAACCAAATGTATTCTTTTCCAGAATATTGTCCTCAAAGTTAGAAGAGAGAAAAGAATCTCCAATGACAAAGTGGATTTAAATAAAATAGGAGTTTGGTGGTAATATGGTGATGATCTAAGAAAGGGAGTGAATCTGAAATCCCATTATTTAAGGTAAATATAATTCGTCTACAATGGAGATTTTATAACTTCACAGGTAGCGATGGACCTGAACCAAAACCCTCAGATCCAGATACCTCCACACTTGAGGGAAATCCATATGCATGTGGCCAGACATAGTTCTCATATTCCTCCCCCATCCACAACTCTCTCCTGTTAATTCATTATATAGCCTGAATTTTACCATTATTTGTCTGGCAATCAGTTACTGTGATTATTTATTATTTGTCTAGAGCCAACAGAGTGCTAGGAGCTTGACAGAAGGGCATGAAGACAAGGCCCATCCTACAAAAATCTCATCATCTAAACAGATAACATACAGATGAGGGAGAAAGTTTGGAAAGTGACCAAAAGCAGCAGGACTGAAGAATGAAGAAGAGCATATAGCTTGTAGGTCCCATGCTTTTTTAAAAATGAGTTATGTATCAGCAAACACTTCACTGTGTGGGATGAGGGACTTCACAGAGAAGGTAGAAGCATGGCAATCTGTATGAAGGAAGGGTTGCAAAGCTGTTTAGAAGTCAAGAGTGGGAGCAGGCTGCGGAAGGGACAGTTACTAAAGGTGGAGAGAATAGAAAGAGGGAATGTAAAAGGAGAAAGCAGAGAAATAGATATCATGCAGGCTGTGCATGGGACTTGAAGAGGAGGACAGCATGCTTACATCTGATGTGGTAAGGCATGTCACCTTGAAACAGAATCTGTTCATTTACAGGATTTTTACTCTCTAACCACTCTAGCCTGTTATTCTAGAGGCACTCATGAGTGCTGACTTGCTGGCACAGACCTAATTTTTTAAAAGGACGAAGAACGTGGAAACATTTGTTTAGTAAAAAAAAATAATCCACATTCCATATAAAAAAGGAGACCTGGATTTTTCAGTCAGTTTTTGGGGCTTGTGGACTCTGGCAAAGTCTTGTTAAAAGCACTGGGGAAGTTGTTTGTTTTTGTCATGGATATACGCACAAGATTTGGGTATATTCACTTTTAATAACTGATAGTTTGACTGCTTGTTTCTTGAAGTCACTCACAGATGGGCTGGCAAGTGTTTCATTGGAATAAGCAGTAGTTGTGAGGAAAATGCTCATTCACAAACAGAAACTTCCAAGGGGATGACAATACAAAAAGGGAGGACAGGTTGAGGCGTGTCTAGGTATTTGAGGGATACACTTAGACACAATTTTCACACAGGTGTAGGGTGGTTTTGCTTTTTTCAACCCTAGCATGATAGATTATTAATCATCTTCAGCCAGTCTGTGGGAGAGTAGCAGACACATGACAAACAGATTGCACTGACTGCATTGTTGGTTTAAACCCCACTACATAGCATGGTTCCATTAGATTCACACAGGTTAATGCATTTAGAGACGTCTCATGGATTTTGGTTATAGGTGAGTTTCTGCAACGTTGGGAGCATGCTGTCTTGGTGCACTTTCCCTCTTCTGCAGATGCATATCTACATCCACGTACGGATGGGAGTGTGGGACTGTTATGTTGTGCCCAACAACTATAGACCATTCAAGTCTCACAGACTGCAAATGAGACACATGCAATCAGTGAGTCATTCTCATGAACAGCAGGGCTGAACCTCCCCCCAAGTAGCTTCAGGCCAGTACAAAAGCATCAACTTTGTTATTTTGGGTTGCTACACAACAGCGTAGCATCAGGGTAGCACAATGGGATGATAACACCAAGAAGTTGCAACACAAACATTGCTAGTTGCTGCCACCACCACAGCTGTTGTTTCATGCCAAGGCCCCTCTTTTCAGCTTGTGAGACCTTGGTTCAATTCCTGGCTCTGCCATAGATTTCCCATGTGACCTTGGGCAACTCACTTCAAATCTTTGTGCTTTGGTTCCCTAGCTGCAAGATGAGTATAATAGTACTTCCTTTGTCTCATCTAATTTGATCCTAAACTCTGCTATATATATGCATAATAGGAGGCAGCCCTCACGCCACTTAGCAAATTGGACTCCAGTCTTAGCTGTAACATAATGTTATGCTACTACTGTAACATATTAACATTAAGACAAAATGCTAAAGCAGAGGTAGTCAATAGGCGGACAGCGGGCCAAATCCAGACAGCCAGATGCTTTTGAACAGACTCCAAAATCTTATAATTATTGTTATTAATTTTTTAATTATTTTCTCTGGTCTGGACCTTGACCAAGAAATGAGGACCTCAACAAAAAAATAACTGACTACTCCTGTGCTAAAGGGTAAAATAGGGGAATACATATGAACACTTTGAATGAAGATTAATTGTCATTTATTAACTTTGGTACATTTTTTTACTTTCCCAATCTAACCTGAATATTTTTGAACTCTCATCTTTAAGTGCTCCATTATTTCAGAGAATCTATCTACAATAATTATCATACCACTGCTCCAATGGAAGACACAGAAGCCAAACTTTGCAGTAATGTCAAAGAAGAAGCATTCAGAAGGGAATTGCCATACTGTACAGGAGAAATTGACTTCATGGCTTCCGGAAAGAAACGAGGGAAGGTATGATACTTCTCCCATTAAGGAACTTCAGGCTCTTGACTTCTATTCCTATTGTCAAATTATTTGGTTTGCATTACAGTAGTGTGCAAAGGTCAAAAACAGGAGCAGGGCATCAGTGTAGGGTGACCAGATGTCCCAATTTTATAGGGACAGTCCCGATATTCAGGGCTTTTTCTTATATAGGGACCTATTACCCCGCCCCCATCCCAATTTTTCACACTTTCTATCTGGTCACCCTACATCAGTGCTATGTGCTGTACAAGCCCATGTGAAGTCATGGTTCGTGCCCCAAAGAGCTTACAATCTAATTTAAAATAAGACACAAATAAATGCAACAAACCAGAAGAAAGGAGGGGGGGTGACAGTAATAAGATCACTTAGCTACATAAACAAGCATCATGCACAACTGGATGGCTTTGAACCATTTACACTTTTAGTTTATTTTACCCTTCCCAGCTTTGTTTATTTGCATATCATTTGCCTATTTCAGCTTCTGCCCAATCAATCTATTTTTTAAACTTCTACTTATTTAAAACATTTTTAAATGTATCCTTTGCCTATTTATTTATTGAAATTCTACCCTGACTTCATCCCCCTGCACTTCCAGAAGAAGTTTCTGTTACCTTCTGCCCATCCCATATCCATAATCTTGGTCTTGGATGCTACCTAGTAAAACTCCCCCGAGTCAAGTCCTCCACAGTCACTGAGACTCCAGAACGCCTCTCCTCTTAGACATTCAACAAGCCTTGTGCTGATGAAGGCATGGGATTCTGAGCAGATCCTCAGCTGCTGTAAGTCAGCATAGCTACTTTGACCTAATGAAGCTATACTGATTTACACTAGCTGAGGATCTGCCCCAAAATGTGTAAAGTGCAAAGTAATGTTAAGGTGAATCAGTGGCGAAGGTGGGATGAGAATTCAAGCATCCCAGGCTCCCAGCCCTGTATTCAAACCACTAGACACCACTGCCTCTATGGCAGTGGTTCTCAACCAGGGGTACGCAGAGGCCTTCCAGCGGGTATGTCAACTCACCGAGATATTTACCTAGTTTTACAACAGGCTACATAAAAAGCACTAGCAAAGTCAGTACAAACTAAAATTTCATGCAGACAAGGACTGGTTTATACTGCTCTATATACTATACACGGATATGTAAGTACAATATTTATATTCCAATTGATTTGATAATTATGTGGTAAAAATGAGAAAGTCAGCAATTTTTCAGTAATAGTGTGCTGTGACTTTGTATTTTTGTGTCTGATTCTGTAAGCAAGTAGTTTTTAAGTGAAGTGAAACTTGGGGGGTAGGCAAGACAAAATCAGACTCCTGAAAGGGGTACCGTAGTCTGGAAAGGTTGAGAGCCACTTCGCTACAGGACACACACATGCATTTGCATTCACAATCATATTCAGCCAAATGACACCTTCAAGACTCAGGTGTCACTTATTACCCAATATACAACACAGAGAAGGAGACAACCTCATCTATGTCAAAAGAAAAGGAGTACTTGTGGCACCTTAGAGACTAACCAATTTATTTGAGCATGAGCTTTCGTGAGCTACAGCTCACTTCATCGGATGCATATCGTGGAAACTGCAGCAGACATTATATACACACAGAGATCATGAAACAATACCTCCTCCCACCCCACTGTCCTGCTGGTAATAGCTTATCTAAAGTGATCATCAAGTTGGGCCATTTCCAGCACAAATCCAGGTTTTCTCACCCTCCACCCCCCCACACACACACAAGCTCACTCTCCTGCTGGTAATAGCCCATCCAAAGTGACAACTCTCTTCACAATGTGCATGATAATCAAGGTGGGCCATTTCCTGCACAAATCCAGGTTCTCTCACCCCCTCACCCCCCCTCCAAAAACCACACACACAAACTCACTCTCCTGCTGGTAATAGCTCATCCAAAGTGACCACTCTCCCTACAATGTGCATGGTAATCAAGGTGGGTCATGTCCAGCACAAATCCAGGCTCTCTCACTCCCCCCCCCCCTTTTCCCGGGGACACACACACACAAACTCACTCTCCTGCTGGCAATAGCTCATCCAAACTGACCACTCTCCAAGTTTAAATCCAAGTTTAACCAGAACGTCTGGGGGCGGGGGGGGTAGGAAAAAACAAGGGGAAATAGGCTACCTTGCATAATGACTTAGCCACTCCCAGTCTCTATTTAAGCCTAAATTAATAGTATCCAATTTGCAAATGAATTCCAATTCAGCAGTTTCTCGCTGGAGTCTGGATTTGAAGTTTTTTGTTTTAAGATAGCGACCTTCATGTCTGTGATTGCGTGACCAGAGAGATTGAAGTGTTCTCCGACTGGTTTATGAATGTTATAATTCTTGACATCTGATTTGAAACCTGTCATCTATGTCAGTCACCTATTTATTTTTTAAACTTTGGAAGGTGCTCAGATGCCACAGCAGTGTGTGGTTTAGTGACCATACAGAGGTAACAAACTCATGCATTCAAAATAGGCAGATGCAAAAGAAAAGGGAGGAAAGATACAAAAGTACAGTGGGATTTCGTATCTAAACTCCAACCACAAATATACTTTTAAAGTGGTTACTAGCAGCCAAGATTAAAAAACGTGACTAGTGATTAAAAAATTGCTACGACTTTTAAGGGGCCTGATTTTCAGAAAGGGCTGAGCACCCATTCTCTGAAACATCAAGCACCTTTAAGATGTCTCAAGTTGGGCATTAAAAAAAACAAAACAAAAAACAAAAACACAAAATCATACACACACACCAAACAGGTTCCCAGAAATCACAAGGCACTTTTAAAATCTTGGCCTATGCATAGCTCGCTATAAATGTGCAATACAAAATAAATTAAACCAGATGATCAAATTCTATGCTGCATCTCTCTGGAAGGCACAGCCCAGGGGACTTGTAGGTAGGAAACTTCTGCCTTTCAGACTGTAGGCTGCTGCAGGACCAAAACAAACATTCCCTGATGTTATTTAGGTAGCCATAGGAGATGCTCTCAGTTATAGCAGCCTCCACAGCATTACCAGACCAGCCACAGTGGTTTGATTTGTTTCCCCATCCTTGGTTCTATCCCCAGCACGCAACAGTATGCCAACAGGCCAGCACAAGGCAAGGACAGGTGGTCCGATACAAAGTTTATCCCTGGGGAATCCTCCCTGGCCTCTTGTGGGCTTCTGTACCATCCTAATACACCATCAGAATAGCATGTAGGGGCTGGAGTCCCTCTTGGAGTCTGCACCCAGAAGACCTTATAACAAAATTAAGATAAAAAGAGAAGGAAGCATCAGATTCATGGAGGCAATGATAAAGGGTGTTAATGATAAGATCACACAATGGCTTGTGTGAATGGTGCACATGTTGAGAGTTATATAGGTTACTGTTCAGTAGATTTTTTAAAACAGGTTAAGGCTTCCTTGAAGAAGCATATTTTGTTGGAGGGAATATGTATAAATAGATGATTTGAACACTTTTTCTTTTGTTTCTGTTGTTTTGTAATTTGTACTCATCCTTATGTAAAAAACAATACCTTCTATAGTATATAACAAAAGGAAGCCTTATTGGAAGCAAAACAGTATGTGATTTAAAGTGCCATAAATAAATGTTAAGTCACTGGTACTTCCAAAGCACACTGCTATAGAATGAAGACAACACACATGAATACCCCTAGGAAATTAGATCATAATTATATATCAGAGTATGTCCACAGTTGAATGGTGGCTGGGAAAGCTTAGTACAATGCGGATATGTGGTTGCAGTCCTTAGTTTTAGTTTATAACAATGGTCTAGTAGACTTGTATGTACTATACTCTTCTGTTAAATATTTTAAGAGCTGAGGCTCTTCGGTTTATTTCCTCTGGCTGATCCTATTGACATCACTGATCTGTTTTAGACATTTAATGCCAATCCAATGATGAAAACCATGTATCATATTTAGTAAATACATCATCAGAGAAATGTTTGCCCATTATTGAACTCTGCATCACTGAATTATCAACAGATTATTCAACAGAAAGTAGAAATCCAGCTCAAGTGAAACCAGTGGAAAAGAGCATAAACTAAGGCAGGTCATGAAAATTAGGAAGGCTAAGAAAGTATTTGAAGAGCAAATAGCCAAAGACATAAAAATAGACAAGAAATAATTTAGGTAGTGCAGAAACAAGAAGTCTGTGACAAAATGGTTAAGCCTACTGGACTCCACAGGAGTCAAGACAGTGGTTGAAGAGGACAAGGGCATTGAAGAAGAAGAAGAACTAAATAATGCATCAGTCCTCACCACTGTGGATATTGGGGAGATACACAATGAATAATTAACCAGTAGGACTCATTGCCATAGGAAGCCAGTGAGGTCAAGAACTTAACAGGATTAAAAGACATAACTAGATATTTATATGGATAACATCCAACATTTGTTTATTTTGTTTTTTTAAAGGAATATAAAGCCTCATTCTTTCTGTACAAAAAAAGTCAACTACTAGGTGATGGAGGTTGGGCAGACACTTCCCTCTATTGGCTAGTTTTTCCATAATTGTCCATTACAGGGTCTCCTGCACCTTCTTCTGAAGTATTTTGTACTGGCCAGTGTCATGAAGAGTATTAAACTAAAACTTGTGACTTTGGGCATCACTTAGTCTCTCATTCTCAGTTCCCCATCTATGAAATGGGGATAATAGCACTTCCCTACCTCAAAAGGGGTGTGGTGAGGATAAATACACTGAAGATTTTGACATGGCCCTCCAGCCAGGTCACACAAAGAGAATCACATCCTCCAGAATTTGATAGGTCAGCCCTGCCTGGGACACCCACCAGCTTCTGGCAGAGGCACCTGCCTCAATTTTTGCTTCTTTTCATCCGTAAGAGAGGCATAGTCCTTCAGCGTCCAATACGAAGCCTGCCCTGGGCATAAATTGATTCACATACACCAGTGCAGTAATACCCTAAAATCTTGTAAGTCAAACCATTCTCCAATTTCTGTAATAAACATACAAAATGGGATTTTCCCATTCCTCTCTCCAGGGAGTTTGCCCTCACAGCACCCACTCAAGAGTCAATACCAGCAGCACTTTGTTCCCATTTCCATTTGCCCCCGATCAAGGGCCCCACTCTCCAGCCATCCCTATCGGACAGTGACCAATTTCTTCCTACCTTTCATTCACTTCTTCACCCAGAGGGCCCCCCGCTCCTGCAATGTTTTACTCCTGCAGACCTGCCTGCAAGTCCTATCCCTGCTCAGGGGCACCCACAACAGCTTTCTTGCTTCTGGGTTCAGCTCTTCTGACCAAGCCGATTTTCTTCGGATTTTCTCCAACACTCCTGTTGCAGCTCCCATAGGAGCTCAGCTTTCTCTACTAGATCTCCTGAAGCTCTCTCCCAAGAAGCTCCTGCCAGCTCTTCCTTGCTGTTCCCTGCCTCAGAGTCTGAGGCAGCTCTCACCACACCACCTCCTGCGTCTGACTCTTCTCAGGCTCTGACTCTTCAGGTCTCCTTCCCTCTAGGGCCAGGTGCCCTCTCAAGCCTAAATTGACCAGCCACAGGCACATTAACCTCTTCCTTCTAAGGGTACGTCTACACTGGAATAAAAGACCCATGGCCTGGCTGCAGCTGGCCCAAGTCAGCGGGGTTGGACTCATGATGATTGGGCTGCAGGGCTAAAAATAAAATAAAATAAATAAAATCGCTGTGTAGACATTCAGGCTCAGGCTGGAGCCTGGGCTCTGGGGCCCTCTCCTCTCACAGGGTCCTAGAGCTCGGGCACCAGTCTGATCCTGAACATTTATACTGCAGTTTTACGGCCCTGCTGCCCGAGCCCGACTCAGGTGACCCAGGCCAGCCATGGGTATTTAATCGCTGTGTAGACATAACCCTTAAAGGGCCAATGTCACTGTTACTCTGTGACATAGGGTGTCTAAACTCAAGGGAACAGAATCTCTTCTGCCCTCCCCAGACGCAATTCTCTGCAGTCTCTTTCCCCCTCTCCCAGCCTCTGCAGATTTCTTCCTTCCTCTTTTACAGAGCACCACTTCACAGGGCTTTCTCACTGGACGCCTGGTTCCTCTCAAGCTGCTGACCCTCAGGGCCTCTCTCCTGGAGTCTCTCTTCTCCCAGGCCTGCTTCTGAAGTCTCCTTCTCCCCAGCTGCCTTCTCCCTTCAAGGAGAGACCCAGGGTACAAACTCCTTCCTACAGACCCCTCTGTGGTTCCTTTCCCAGAGAGCACAAACTCACAACTACCTCTCTCCGGGGTCACCTCTTTCTTGCCCTATATTTACAGGAAACATCCAGTCTGGTTCTCCCCAGCTGGGTCTAGTCCTTAATGACCTGTCTCCCCTGCAGGTGACACAGATTGGGCTAATTGAGTTGTCAAGCTCCCCTTAAACTCTGTCACTGCCGGTGTGGGGTTTGTACACCCCAGCACAGGCTTCCTGTCCACAAAAGGTTTTACATCCTACACCACCTTTACCTGATATGCCAAGTCTCGCTCTTCTTGGAGATAAACTCCTTCTTTTTTTAATATTAAGGTCTATCAGTAAAGTATTTCACTGTTATGGTGAAGGATTTTTCCCATCTGTTCCAATTATATACAGAACATCTCTGACCCATCCTCTACAGTAAAACTGTAATTTGATCAACACCAATCTTGCTAATGACCAGGTATATGAACCATTTCCACTAATGGGAGGACAGAGGGGAGAGAGAGGGAAATCACATGAAAATGATGTTGAGGAAGAACAAGTCAGCATCTCTTCATGTTCTGATGCCTCCAATGCATTGGAAATCACTTTACAGTGGTTTGAAGGACAAGTGTACCACACTGCAACTTATGCAGTGTATTTGCTGTGATTTTGAGAGGTATCATTTTACCAATTAGTTTGTAAAGATAGGGGTTATACTGTACTGCTATCTTGTTACTCAGTGCCCTTTTGTTTATTACAGTTTGTTAAAGTTCCATGTGCCATCCATCCTGGAGTTATATTTGATATTATGATCAACAAATGGAACCTACCTGCTCCCAACTTGGTTGTCTCTTTAGTTGGAGAAGAAGAAAACTTCCAAATGAAACCTTGGTTACGGGACACCTTAAGAAAAGGACTTGTAAAGGCTGCAGAAAGCACTGGTTGGTTCAACTTCTAAAATTGGGAACTTAATTTCTTCTACCTCCACCCTAAAGAGTCCCCATCCAGCATTTGCCAATCTTTCATCATTAATTTAAGTGGAACAGCTCATATGCATAACAATTAAACACATGCTTAAGGGCTTTGCTGGATGGTGGCCTACACCTGTATTAAGATATTTATTAATGATACAAGTTACTGCAGTATGACTATCTCAATTATTTACTACTTCATCCAAATTACTTCAGACAGTGGTTCTTGCAACTGATAAACATCTGAAGTGCAGTTGTGCTCTAAAAGGTGATGGGGAAAAAAGTGTCACAGTGGGATCCATATCAGTTTTCTCTCTCCAGCTCCCTAGTAGTGGTAGGATTTTCAAAAGCACTCAGCATTGGCCTAACTACACTTCCATTGAAGTCAGTCTTGGCTGCAGTGGGAACAGAGTTGAGACAAGAGAGCACTTCTGAAAAATACCACCTGAATCTCTTCACCTTATAATTAAAAGTGTGTGTTTGTGTCTCAACTGGCAGCCCGTCAAACTCAACCTGGAATCTGAAAGTCAAACTGACCTATTGTGGGTATCACATCCTCACCATTCAAAGAATTTTTTATTGGAACTGATTGACAATTTTGTTAAGTGATGCAGAAACCAGAAGAGAATCTGGCTCACTTTACCTGGTGTTCACTGCAGGGCTAACAGGAATGAAAAGTATTTGAAACATTGACACAATAATTGGCAAACAGGACTCTGAATACACATCTGTCAGTTAAGAGGCCATTTTTTCTTGGCCCCTATGAGCATAACTGCATTTTGAAGTTTATGAAGTGCTTAAAGCATACTTTAGTGCTCAATATAGTATATACTCGGTTCATAGTGCTTTGCTGGTTCAAAGGGGGAAAAAAAGTCACAGTGCCGTTTTGCTTTTCATTACTAAAAAAAGCCAAGTACTAAAGTAGTATCAAAAGTACCATAAACAGAAATAGTTATTGAGATCATTGCAGCTTCTATTTATGCTTAGTGTAAACTTCCTATGCTGCAAGTCATCTCAGTACCTACAAGTGGACACTGCTAAGGACTCTGGCTTATTTTTATTTTACTTTCCTTTTTGTCTACTGACACAGTTTGGGGAATATGCTAAATCATTTAGTGAGGGGGACCTCAAGTGGTTTGGTTGTCACTACAGCATCCAGGTCTGGTAATCACCGTGGCTTGCCCTAGGCACATGAAGAATAAACAGAGCCCGGCTCTTTTGCGGAGTCCGCTCTCCAGTACGCCAGAGAGCAAGGCAAAGAGAGTGTCAGATACTTTCCCATAGAGCTAAATGGAAAACCCCTAACCCAGCAACTCATCTAACAGCTATTTCCAACATCACACAATCAGTCCTCCCAATTTAGTTCTTCATCCCAACTGCAAGATGTCACCTCCCCAGTTCCCACCCTCCACCCCTTGCCCCAAGAACTAGTACTGCCTCAGATATGCAGACTGTCATATCTTTACTTCCAGTAATATCATTCCGCCACTAGATGATTCTCTGTGCTCCATTGAACATCCCAGATGGGAGTATGGTCCCTGCTAAACCAAGATGACAAAGCTGGAACATGTTTGTTTGTACCTATCGTTTGTCATTGCTTTCTTCAATAAAAGTGTCCTGTTTAGTACAGACTGTGATTCTATATGTAATGACACAAATTATCGATATCCACTAGAGGCCTCAAAGATCTGACTTCTCAGAGGCCCGAAAAATATCTAGAGCCAGCCTGGACAGACACATAGTTAGAGGTACTTATATATCAAATGGTAAAGCAACTAACTCCATAATGTTCTTATTGAATTAATTTCAGGTGCCTGGATCTTTACCAGCGCTCTACGTGTTGGAATAACGAGGCATATAGGGCAAGCAGTCCAAAATCACATGCTGGCTAGTACTTCAGCCAGAGTAAGAGTGATTGCAATAGGAATAACTTCACTGGGAAAAATTCAGCACAGAGAGATTCTGGACAATGTGAAGGTATTTTTCTCATAACACTTACAGTATGGGGTCATTTAAATATGAACTGCCTCTCCAAAAATAATTACTAATAATAGGCAGCAAAACAATTGAGCTGCCCTAGATGACAAACCCAAGGAGCAAAATGAGAATGAACAGGAAAGATCTGAAATTATATTACGATTATAATGATTTTGCACCATGTGCAGGCAATCCATAGATATCTCCCCCTGCTTAACAAGCAATGCTGCAAATATCCAACAGGTGTCGGTATTATACATTTGATTAGTACAGAGTCCAGGAGAAAAATGCTGACTTAAGAAGAACTTGGAGGAAGAACTTTTTTATATATTAATAGGATACCACTAATACTTTTTGCTTATGTCACCTTTTATCTGAAGATCTCAAAAAAAATTTTTTTCCCCTTATGAAGTTTGTTAAACAAACAGTTCTATATGATAGGGAACCTGAGCCAGGCAGGTTTAAAGCTGAAGTTGTCATTAAGTGGTCGTTGAATTTGAATGCTGTGATTTTTGGTGCCACGCTTAATATACTTTGGATCTGAATTTCAGAAGTACTGAGCAACCCTTGTTTTATCGGCAGTCAGTGGGAGCTCTGGGTGCAAAGCTCTTCCACAATTAGGTCCAAATGTTCCCAATTTGAGCATATAAAGTCAGTGACCTCTTTTGAAAATGTTGGCCCAAATTACTTGCCCAAGATCATAAGTGACCCAAAAGCAGAGTCCAGAATTTAATCAGGGTTCCAATTCTGCTGTTCTGACCACACTACTGCCATATCTATTATAGTCTGAGTGTAACAACAACAAGGTAGATGTGTTTATGATAATGAGCAAAAATCTAGATCTATACGGTAATGTTTCTGTGTATACACAGAAGAAGACAGCACAAGAGAGCCAGTTGCAGATCCTTGATCCTGGGGCTAATTCTTCGTGTTTTTATTTATCAGTTAGTGTCACAGATGTGCTCAGTGCCTCATCCTTGGCCCCAGAGAACAAGAAGGATCTGGGCTCTTCAGGAATACACCTCAACAGTTCCTTGTGACCCCTGGCCAAACTGTGTCATTAGAGGGCTTGGTGTTGCAGAGGGCCCCTAGGCCTAGGATTTGGCCCTTGGCTACTGAAATGTGCTCCTAACCTTCAGGCCCCAGTCATTAAATTATTTATATGGTACCAGTGCTGTGCACAGAACTGTCCAGACACATAACATGACATCTCTACCCAGAGGATCTTACAGTCTAAACATACAAAACAAAAAGACAGCAGGAGGGAAGGGAAAAGGAAAACAACACACAAGCAAAACAACTGAGCAGACAAATTGGCTGTATCTTGCTAGAGCCCAGTGTTAAGTGTCAGTGGGGAGGAAGGGGAATGGAAAGAGGCGTGTTTGTTTATTTATTGAAAACCATCCTACTGCAATGTGAGCTAAATGAAAGGATCATGATGAGAGAAGACAAGAGAGGTGGGCAATCCTAGTTTGAGTTGCCACTGACAATACACCCAAATAATAAACAGATGGACACCAGGAAGAAGGGATTTATTGCCGGAATGGGGCAAATTATATGTGTGTATATAAAGCCTTTGTGCCTAGACAGTGGTTCTCAACCTTTTCTGGGCAGTGACTCCATGTTGCAACAAAAAAAAGTTTCAGGATATCCCACCCATCTGGTCATGGGAGAGGGGAAGAGGGAGAAAGAGGAAGGGTTACGCCCTCCCCAAACACACACACACACTTTTTGTGACCCATTCCCCAGAGAGTGCAACTCCTAAGTTCAGAACTGATCGATTAGACCATGCATAGTCTTGCCAACAAAGTAATGCTGCATAGTTTGAATTAGTATGTACATATAGTGCACTAAATTAACTGCTGGTGTAAAGACAGACCTAATGCAATGGAAGTCCATGTAAATGGGGGTATTTCCATTAGCAGAGACTTTGGTCCTTGGAACCCTTCAGGCTCTATTCCCCAGTCATCAGGGTTTGTAGCCCTTGTCATTTGTCTAAGATCAGAAAAAACATATTTCCAGGAGTTCTGAACTGATGCCCCCATCACAAACAAGATGTTTGGTGTCAATATATTTTGCAGAATCCAAAAGGGAGACTCAGAAGACTTCATTTTTCTACTGGTGCCCAACCTGGCACCTTTCACACAGATGCCATTCTCTTTCTCCCAACTTATAAAAGAGACTTTATTGGAAGTGTCTGAATATTTATTTTCTTCTATGACATAGCGCAAAACCACTAAAATCAGATAAAAATATAAAATCTATTTTATAAAGATTAACCTCTCTCTTTTCTAGAATGAAAATCTTGTATGCTACAAGTCAGATGATAACGGCCAAGGGCCACTGTACTCCCTTGACAACAATCACTCCCATTTTATTTTGGTGGATCAGATAAATCCAGATGAGCCAGATGGAACTACTAAACTACGGCTCACCTTGGAGAAACACATTTCAGAACAGCGCACTGGGTATGGAGGTAGGTAGATGCAAAAGAAATTAATCAAGTTGTTAGCCAATATGTATATGTTATACAAATTGCACACCATATCAATATGCATTAAATATTAGCAAAGTTTTATATTTGAATGATATTATGCTCATGTTTGTTCATTCATGCTAAGTATCCCATAACTCTTTGTAAAGCTAAGTCAGCTTTGGTATTAGCAAATGCAAAATCTGTCAGAATCAAAATACATTCAATCTATGTCCTACTATAGGTATCTTCATGGAAACTGGTTTGGAATATAGTATCCAAAACAGAGATAAGATAAAAAAAGTACAGAACAAAAACAAGTTGAGCAACTGTTACAAACTGGTGGGTTGGATTTTAGTGACGTGCAAAGAATTTTGTAATTCTTAAAAACATATTATAGATACTAGCTGAAATGCATATCTTTGATGCACACCTTCTGTGTAAGTGACCATGCTGGGAGGTAAGGATTGGTTCTTAGAAGGAGGGTACTTATGTCTCCTCTTCATATTGTACTGCTTTGACTTTAGACAATACATCTGCTTAAGTTCGGTTATTTGGTCTCTTGAACTTTTTTAGGAACAAACCACAAGTGTAGTCAAACAACTGGCTACACCTTTTAGTCAATCAAGTTATCACAATATTCATACTCTAGTAACACCTAGAACCTCCAGCTGAAATCAGGGACCATTGTGCCAAGCACTATACATACATACATATAGTAAGAGACGGTAAACTCCTAGGGGCAGGGACTGTCTAAACAGACAAGACATAAAGGAAGTATTATTATCCACTTTTAATTGTTGGGAAATTGAGGTCAAAAAGGGATTAAGTGACTTACTCAAGGTGACACACAGAGCTGGGAACTGAACTCCCACATCCCAATCTAGCTCCTTAAGCACAAGGCTATCCTTCAATGCTCAAAGCTGACATGCAAGAAGCTTTAAAGAACTGAAAATAAATGTAGATTAAGTGCCCCCAAATAACAGCTATAAGAGAGGGGCATTCAGCATACTGTACTATCATTTTAGATCCCCCCAAATTCATGGACTGCTGGCTCTCACTCCAGGAGACATGACATCCATCATGGAACGAGGGGCTCGCTGAAATGCTCAGTCATGTCCATTTACTTGAGGGAGAAATTCAACCCTGTAAAGACAGTGCAAGGTCCATGCACCACTTAAAACTACTTAAGCCCTGTTTAAAATGGGACTTAAGTGTTACATAAGGCCCCATACCAATCATCCGCACAGGGGGAATTCCATCCATAGTGGAAAGTGTTTTCACTTCTTCTTGCTTCTATATCTGCAGAGCTAACGTAGCTAGTAGAAAGTGAGCTAGATAATCTCTCTTCTCACTCATCAGAATTGTTAACTAAACTCCAAATTCTGCCCTCAATGCGGCTGCATTGACTAACAGAGAATAGGAGTACTTGTGGCACCTTAGAGACTAACAAATTTATTTGAGCATAAGCTTAAGCTCAAACAAATTTGTTAGTCTCTAAGGTGCCACAAGTACTCCCGTTCTTTTTGCGGATACAGACTAACACAGCTGCTACTCTGAAACCTAACAGGGAATGAGAATGAGCCTAAAGAATGTTTGTTAAGGGTGATGATATTCATATAGGAAAGAACCCAGTTTGACTCAAATCTCAGGCTGAGTTTGCAGGGCTGGCATTTAGAAATAACCTCTTTTTACTTGTAAACTAAGCAAGAGTCACTTTGCAGACTAGAATTTTATTTTAAAGACAAATAGCAAAGACATGTCACACAGTACAAGACAAAGTCACAACTGACCCCACTATATGTCATCTTCATGCTCCAGCTGAGTTCTGTGTTAGTTCTGTCACCACCTGCACCGGTTATTCTGGGATATCTCATGGAGAGGGAACTGGTGATCTATACATTATTTCAGGCAACCTAATAATAAAAAAAGATAAATAAATAAAAGACGTTTAAAAATCACTTGATCCAAATACTCCTCTTCCCCTTGCTATTTATTGGTGCATTCATCACTTGACTCTACAGAGGGTTTTTTTGTTTTGTTTTGTTTTTTGGTGGGAGCCACTTTTTTTAGACATACTTGCAGGCCCATTTGAAATGCACTTGGTAGATTTTACAGTATGAACTGCAGTTGTGCTATCTCTAGAAATAAATGCAGCAGCTGTTGGGGAACTGTGAAGGATGACTATTTCAGCTTCTTTGCATGCTGCTGTGAAAATGGTTAAAAATTCATGTCTGCAGACTTTTAAATGGTCAAAGTTATTGCACCATGTAAAGTTGCATCACACTGTAGGCTGATGTGAAGCAACCTAACAGAACATTAAGAAAGTAATGTATGGTTAATTCTGGCTCAGATCTGAGTCATCTGTCCTTAACAGAATTACATAGTCCTCTCATTCATATCACTTTTCCATTTATTTTCCCTTTTCCTGCATTCTGTCTTCACATTTTTCTGCATAGTTTAGTCCCAGATCCGGCAAACATGTACTGACATGATTAACTTGATGCACATGACTTATCCCATGTGATGGCTCCACATCAGGAGAGATGGTCAAAATTACAATTTTTCAATGAAAAAAAAACATTTTTCTCAAAAATTCAGCATTTTTAACAATACCACTCATCAAAACTTCCCACTATAAAAAGTTTTAGTTGAAAGTTTGAAGTACATTTTTTAAAAATTAAAACCAAAAAACATCTTTATGCATCTATAATGGTAACCGTGTGCATAGATGCAGTGAGGAGTCTGGCTACAGAGAGCTCCCTTCAGGATTGGGGGCCCAACATCTGCTCAGAGGCTATGGATCAGAAAGTTAAACAGGCTCACCCTAATTCCATATGAAGCATTCATGATCCTATTGGAAACAGAGGAACAGCCACCACCATCTTGTTTTTCTAGCATCTAGGACACTGACAGCTTTTTAAGTCAGGACAAGTGGACAATAGTTAGAATCCATTTGCTGTGTATGTTCTAATTGTATTCAACCTAGCATTCCAAATGCTGGTTCTCCCAGGGCCTCGCCATCCATCCTAGGTACTTAGATGGCACTCATCACGGTAGTATGGGTGCCACCTCAGAGTCATTAACACCTCACAGTCATTAATGCATTTATCCTCACAACATGCCTGTGAGGTGGGCAGGGCTATTATTCCTGTTTTACAGGCAGGTGCACAAAGACACTAACTGATTGTCCAAGGTCACACAGGAAGTCTGTGGCACAGCAAGGAATTGAACCCTTGTCCCAAGCCCGTGGCTAACACGCTAACCACTGGACGATAGTGCTTTTCACAGCCTTTGCTGTCAACCATCCTATTGCCTGTGTTCTCAGGGTCCATTGCTCTTGTTTCAGCCCATGGACAATATGATGGCACAATGCTTTCCAGAAGATGGCAGCAACACATCATCATCTTTATGAATGTTAGGAATGTAAACATTTTCTCATCTATTTCACAGGAACAGGTAGCATTGAAATCCCTGTGCTTTGTTTACTGGTAAATGGAGGACCAAAAACACTTGAGGTAAGAAGCTACTTGTGATATTTAAAAATTCATTCTAAAAATACCCCAAGGAGGTAAACAAATCCATGTTTTGTAACTGTCAAATATTAAATAAAATACTTAGCAGAACATTTTGCTGGGTGCCAACTACAAATCCAAGTAGTAAGATATTATACAATTTGTATAACAGTTAATTTTTTAGTACAAAAAATTAAAAATTCAACTTATATTCATTAGCTTCACCAGTACATCCTTTGCTGCAAGAAATAGTGCAGTTTGAACAAATTCAACAGAAATATTGCTTAGTTTTAAAAGTATCCTCAGATCACTTAAGTTTCCTATCTGACTACACATCTAGTTAACACCGTAGGAACTGAGCAGTGGAAATCTGAAAAAAAATCTGGTGAATTAGAAATACTAGCTATTACTTACAAAGCAAGTAAAAACAGATTATTCAGGCATAGGTGCTGGAACTAGAGGTGCTCCCACACCCGTGGGCTTGGAGTGGTTTCCATCATATACAGGGTCTACAGTTTGGTTCAATAGCTCTCAGCATCCCCACTGTACAAATTGTTCCAGCACCCCTGTAGCCAGGCAGCTTTTCCTGGCAATGATCAGACATTGCATATTCAATGCTGCCTCTCAGAACTCAGGGAAACACAATGGCAGATTTGCAGTGCTGTGAGACCAGTATGTGCTGGTCTCACAGCATCATATTTCCACCAGATCTTCTCTTTATGGAACAGTGGGCTCAGTGCGGTACACTGCCAACTCTGTCTTAGCAGCGTTTGTAAATTGACCCAAAGATTCAGCTTTGATCTTTTCCCCAACAGCTCCACACATTATGTTTGGAAACAGACTTTCTAGCTGGGTGACATGGTTTTTCTTCAATTTCCATTTTATCTTCACTGACTTCCTGCATAACAGACCATAGAATTTCACCCAGTAGTTCCTACGTTGAGCCCAACAGACTGTTTGAACTAGAGCATCTCACTTTAATAAGACAGCTAGCCTTGATTTAAAGATTCTAAGTGATGGAGGATCTACCAGATACTTTGCAAATCTGTTGCAGTGGTGAATGACCCTCACTTTTTTTTTTTTTTTGAAAGCAAAAAGCCAGCCAGTTAGCTATAAAATCCCCGTTAGTAGTTGTTCTCTACTTGCTTAACCTGTAAAGCGTTAAAAAATCTCTCTGGACAGGTAAAAGGAAGGGAGTGGGCACCTAACCAAAAGGGACAATGGGAAGGCTAGAACCTTTTAAAATTGGGGGGGAAAAACTTCCCCTTTGTTTGTCTGTGTTGTTCTCCTGGAGGAGAGACAGGGCTGGAACTATGCTGTAAGAAGCTTTGGGCCAGGTATGAAAAATCATTAGATCATACCTAGGAACTTCTCATTTAAAACCCCAGAAATGTAAGTAGATCAGGAAATGTCTAGGAAGACGCGATTAGGTTTATTTCTTTATGACTTGTGGGATTCCTCTGTGGTAACCTCAGGTGCTTTTGTTTTGCTTGTAACCTTTAAGCTGGACCTCAAAAAAGCTATTCTTGATTCTTAATTTTTGTATTTGCTCCTTTTAAATCTAGCAATAGCCTGAGTTGTCAGATTTTTTTTTCTTTTTTTTTTTTAAATAAAAATTTACCTTTTTTAAGGACAGGATTGGAGTTCTGTGTCCTAAGAGGTTTGTGCGCATGTTGTTTAATTAGCTGGTAGCAACAGCTGATTTCCTTTGTTTTTCTTTCTCAGCTCTTCCCAGTGGGTGGGGGAAGAAAGGGTTTGAGGGTACCCCATAGGAAGGAATTCTGAGGGGAACATTCCTGGGTCCTCAAAGGGGTTTTTGCACTTGGATGGGTAGATGCTGCCACCACCGAAGGTCAGAGAAAAGCTGTAAGCTTGGAAGTTTAATATAAGCCTGGAGTGGCCAGTATTAATTTTTAAAAATCCTTGTGAGACCCCAACTTCTGCACTCAAAGTGCCGAAGTGGGGAATCAGCCTTGGCGGTGTGTCTTTGCCTTGTTTCCTATTTGAACTTTTCTTGTTTCAATTTCCAGCCACAGGATTTTGTTAAGCCCTTATCTGCTACATTAAAGTACCCTCAAGTATCCAAGATCTTCACTCCATATACGCTGATCAAGTCAATTCTTAACCTTCTCTTTTATAAGCTTAATATGGCAGCAATTCCTGCATGATTGCTGTTGCTGTTGAAAGCCTTGCAGTGCAAACCTATTGATCTTCTTTTGAAATCTTTAGAGAACAAGACTGAGAGACCAGGAAAAGACTGGATAGTGTTGCTCTGGGCTCACCTATGTGCTGGGAATGAATAGCCGATTGTTGTTTTTAACATCACTATCACTTGTAGACAATCATGTATGTCAGGGATTCTCATGTGTTTTTTTTTTTTAAGTGCAGGAGGAGAGCTGGCACTGAGGTCTGAACATCTAATGAGATTGTCACATACCCCACAATATAAAATGGCTGGTAATGAATTACCATTATTTCAGCTAGGATAATATGGTTATAAACCTCTAAAGGATACAACTTCCATGGCCTCCCCTGCACCTCATTGTGATTACATGGCTCTTCCTATCTACTGATATTGTGAAACTCAGCATAAAGGCCACTCTTGGTGGATGTTTTCAGCAGTCTTCTTAAAAACTTCCAGTTGCCAGGTTTCATAGCTGATGCTGAGTAGCCAGATGTAGTGTTCCCTCAAGAAATTTCTGCTTTACAGAACTTGCAGTCAACCTCAGCAGGATTACTGTGCCTCACTGAGGATTTCCCATGGAATGATTCTCTTTTTCTTGCGAATTCTGGCCCCAAGATTAAAAAATGGGGATTCTACATCAAGCTACCAGAGAGTGAATGTTTTTAAACCTTGGTTACCCAAATCAGGATGCTTAGCTAGCTGGGAAGAGAATGGTGGAACAGGGTATAGTTAAGTGGCTATCTTTGTCTTTCCATAATTGCATTCTAAAATGTATTTTTAAAACCACAGAGAATTTGCAGGGGCTTGGAAAACTCTGCTCCCTGGCTTATCTTAGCAGGATCTGGGGGTACAGCTGACATCTTAGCTGCAGTAGTGAATGAGCCACAGCTTATTGTGCCACAAGTTGTTGAAAAGCAACTTAAAGAGAAATTCCCTACGGAAAACTTTTTATGGAAGGACATTCTGCAGTGGACAGCAACAGTAAGTGAACTGGTTTAATATATTAAATGTATCACACTCACAAACTCTGATATTTGTACTTCAGGTAGTTCATCTGGTACCCACTGCCCATATTCAGAATGGCTGGGAGGCTGCTCAGAAATATGCTAGAGAGATACAAATGCTCTGAGATTAATGGCACACAAAAAGGTATCTGAGATCAGAATCAGGCATTCAATTGAGAGCATACTTATTTTGGCTTAGTAATTCAGTTGAACACTTAGGGCTCTATCCTCCACTAAATAGTTTCTGCAAGTAACAGCCACTGCATGGGACCCCCACCGTCCTTCTGGAGGACGAGACACATGATTCAAGCTCTGCAGCTGCAGACGTTCTGCAGCTGTGGAAGACGAGACCCAATTCATGACCTGCAGCTGCCGAGTGGAAGCCTAGATTCTGGATGTGTGTGAATGGACCATTGCTTCTCACCACTCCTTTTTACTCCCACCATTCCCATTCTTTTCCAACAGCAACAATGACAGTTACTCTTAAAAATAAATTAAAAAAAAAAGACTAAAACCCACAAGGCATATAAATTCATAGATCAGAGGGACAATTTCACTGTTCTGCTTGCAGGGACAGTGAGCTTTACAATCAAGATGTGGGGGATAGTATGTACTTCAATGTTCTTTCCCAAATAAACTAGTAAGTGTATAATTCAGCTGAATCTGATCTTCAGATCACCTCCTCTACTGTAATCCACAGTTTTAAAGTTCTACATGTCTGTCCTGTCAGGCAGAAGCTTGCTAGGGCATCATCACCATAGGATGCATCAGTAGCATAATGTCTTCAAGTCTTGGTAGCAGCACTGTAGGAAACTCGAGAGGCAAAGAAGCTCAGGGGAGGAGGAAAAGAAAGCATTTTGTTGACCCGCTGACTGCATATCAACATGTGATAGCTTTTCCACAGAGCAATTTTAGAGATTGTGGCCTTAAAGAAAGGAAAGAGCTAATGGGAGGAAAGATGGCAAGTCATGGAATGGAAGGGTGGAATGGTTAAAACCCACTGCACTATATGTACGAGCTACAGAACTGCTGTCATCAGTCAAGAATGGGAGAGAAGAAGGGTCTTGTACTTACTGCACTGGGACTCAGAGTTGGGAACAGAACCAGCTTTCCTGTTCCAGACTTGCTGTAGGACCTTTTCGTCAAGACACTTGTTCTCTCTGTGCCTCTGTTCCCCCATCTGTAAAATTGGGATAAAAATTTCTCCCTTCCTTCCACACAATCTGCCTTTTCTATTTAAGATGTGAGCTCTTTGGGGCAAAGAGTGTATGCATGTATGTATGTCAACTCAGCTGGGGCCTCTAGGCCTAACTATAATAACAGTAATGATAGGATGAAGAATAAAACCATTTGTTTCAACCCCATAGATTCAGAACATTGTTTCCCAGCAGCATCTTTTAACAGTGCACAGTTTTGAGCAAGAAGGTTCAGATGAATTAGACACAGTCATTTTGAAAGCTTTGGTCAAAGGTAAGAATCTCTTTTGGCTGGTCTTTATAGTTACTAGATCTGTTAACTCTATATTTGAGATTTGCTCACATTTTGTTTTCTAACCTGAGATTATCTGCATGATAATTTTCAGTGTTCATCCCTGAGAGCTAATTGTGCCTGTGTTATTCCTCCACCAAGTGCACTTTGTATGTACTAAGAGGTCAGGAGACTACAATGTTAAGACTTAGAGTGAGAGGAAGCATTTTTAGAATATATTTTAAATTTGAAATGACAAAATTTGGCCAGAAAGTGAATTATGAAAAAGTCAAGCTTCCAATGTGAAACAGTAAAATCCCTAAGCGTCTGATCCAAAACCCACTGAAATATATACAAAGGCTCTCATTTACTTCAGTAGGCTTTAGGTCAGACCTTCAATGCTAATAATAGCAGGATAAAGAAAGTCTCCCACTCAACAAAAAAAAATGATTAAAAAAACTTATATTTCAGTTTTTTCAAAATACTCTAATGGAAGAAATAGACAAGCCAATTCTCTCACTCATAAAACAATCTGTTCAGATGAGTTTGTTTCAGATGATGGGGGTTATTTTTGTAGCTACATATTTTAAATGGAAGGGTTTTTCATTTAAATTTAGATGGACAAGGAGTTACAGTTTGAGGGAGGTTAAATTGTATAAGAAGTTAAGGGAAAGATGGTGAAGTTACCACAAGCCTTAAATAAGGGGCAGTTCATAGTGGCACTGCTCCAGGAACAGGCCAGAGACCAACCTGTGCCTCAGGCTCACAACTGGGTCTCCAGTGGAAAAGTACAGTAGTCTGCACCCCTTTCCCCCTCCCCCATTTCCATGGCACAGTTTACCAGCTCCCCCTCCTTACCTGCTTAGAAACACTCACGGGCACATGACAGGCAATTGAGTCAAGGAGGCTCTACCCACTCTCAGCCTACCTGGAGGGGAAGGGACAGCTCAATGGAAGCTGCTTTCCCTCCCATGGGGCAAGCCATGATGTGGGTAGTCTAAGTCTACACAAGGGAGCAGGGCGTTTTACATACCCATGCCTCTTTGCATGAGTGCTTAAAAGCAAGCCAGAATCTCATTCTAAATTAACTATGCAGTTTAGTCTGAGCAAAATCTTCCTACAAACTCTTTGCAATCAGGATGCTCTGCACGATGGCTGAATGGCACGAACATCCAAAAAGCTGGGATGTGGTTTTTACACCGATGTTCAAATGGAGGAAAAAAACACAAACCAAAAATTCACTTATAAACAGCTATTGCCTCCATTCAGAGCCAAAAACACTCTTCCAATAAGGAAACAGTTACACAAAATTAATGTGATAATCCAGTGGCACAAATAGCAGCTTTCATCAAAGAAAAGCCTGATCAATTTTTACATGCAGGACTTGGGTTCCGTATTTACAAAAATCTCGTTTCCACTAACTCAGACCAATAGTAAAATGGCAACAATGGCCAGGGAAATAGAGAACTAATATCAAGTGTATCTTATTCTTGAAGACAGGAGCAAGCAAAGTGGTCAGCTTGATCAGTGTTCCTGTTTGATGTACAGTCTTCAGCTTGCTTGTAGATGATGCAACAGGGACAATTGGGTATAGGTTTTATCAGATCACACTAGATGTGGTGGAATTTTTTTATGTAATGCTCGCTATCATATTGTGTAGTATATTAACTGATCCATGGTTGCTGTTCGCGCCTCTTAGAAATAATAGGCTACGGAGGAACTGAAATGTGTTGGCGATTGTATATTCTGATTAAAGACATTTTAAGAAGCCACACATCAAACTCAGCTTCCATAGTGAAGCTTCCAGTTTTACGACAAGAAGCCTGCACTCTCTATTCTGAAAGAGTTCTATAGCAGCATTGCCATCCATTGCAGTTTGTGTTGGATCATCCCAGATTCAACATGGGGAGGGAGGGGTTCCATATCCTGTGAGTTAATATATTAAAAAATTCCCAAACATACCCTCTTCTGAAGAACATGATTCAGTTTAAAGGCCCAAGAACATGTGTGAGAGAGATTTTTGGCTAGAAAACAACATTCAAAATGTGAGGTGGATGTAAACTTTCAGACCACTGTCTGTCCGGTAAGGGGGGGAAATAAAAGTGTGAGGGATTTCCATGTAGGTAACCCGCAAATCTGATATAACTGAACAAGAGGTCTCATTATAGTCACACTTTGATTAAACTTTATGTAACGTCCAATTTAACGTAGAGTCAACTGCTGAATGTATGTGTGTTTCCTGTTGTTGGCAGCCTGTAAAAGTCACAGTCAGGAAGCTCAGGAATACCTGGATGAACTGAAGCTGGCAGTGGCCTGGAATAGAGTGGACATAGCTAAAAGTGAAATATTCAATGGAGACGTGGAATGGAAGGTACCAGACTCTACTTGCTCAGATTGTAGTTGCATAAATCCTATCATGGACAGACAAGATTTTCATGTAGCTTGTGAAACATACCCGATCAGTAGTACTAGAAACTAAAGCCCTCTCTTATTCCCCATGTAAGCACAGGAAGTGGCAGTGCGCCTTGTCCTCACACTGCCTCTGTCTTTCTTGACCACAGAGGATTATATCTAAAGAGCCAAGGAAAATTCAGCTGCCGTACCCCTTCTGTCTTTGGCTACTGCACCGAAACTGCCAACAGCCCTTCGGGCATCCTTTTGTTTTGTATTTGTCTAGCAACTAGCAGAATGGGGTCCTGGTCCATGACGGGCTCTTACACACTGCCGCATTACAAATATACGTACAATAGTAACAGGGTGCCCATAAATACTAATTGTGATGGAGTTTTTCCATTATGCACACACTTATGCTCAAAGACCTGATATGAGGCCATTCTTTCATTTCACATCAGTCTGGTGGTAGCAAATTTCAACGAGTGCTGATCTGGTCTGGATTTAAACAGTGGGTGAAAGTCTAATTTCCCAACCCTAATCCCTCATGGCTTTCAGCAGTACTCGTAAAATAGAAATATTCCCTTTTGTGTTTCATGGAAATCTAGTCCTGCGACCTAGAGGAAGTGATGATGGATGCTCTGGTGAATGATAAGCCAGAATTCGTAAAGTTATTTATCGACAATGGGGCCAACGTGTACGACTTCCTGACGTACAGCCGGCTTCAGAGGCTCTACTGCTCTATCTCTCGGAAATGCCTCCTCTATGCACTCCTGCTGAAGAAACACGAGGAAAGCAGGCTGACACTAGCAGGGATCACGGGTCAACAACAGAAGGAAATGATGGACGTCTGCCCGCTCTTTAGCCTCCATGAAGTTTCTAGAGTTCTCAAGGATTTTCTTCATGATGCATGTAAAGGTTTCTATCAAGAGGTCAAGCCAGGAAGCAAGAAGAAAGCTGTGAGTTACAGTCAAGATTCACATATTAAACCGCTATTCTCTCTGTTTTCTGATTTTATTTACAGCTGTCCAGCATTTTGAAAATGAGGGCAGGGCAGAGAATTGGAGAAACTAGACAATTTTCTCTTTTCTTCAACCAGCTATAAAATTTGTTAAAATGTTTTGAATCTTCCAATTTTTAATTTTTGACTAAAAAAAGGGAGGGATTTTTTGCAAAACATTTTTTGATTCCTCTTTATGCCCCCATCCCTCCCTCCCACCCACTACAAGGTATTGTATCTTGAATTAAGTTCAAAGGGTAGGGGTGGATTCATAGAAGGGAATGCAGGGATTCAAAAAATATGATCAGTGATTCAGGTTTATCAGTAATTCTGTAGGTCTCAGATCGCTAAACTACAAATTCTAGCAGAATTTCAAGTAGATATGCCAACAACTTCCCAGTTCTTTTATGGATGGGGGAACAAAAATAGCTAACAGACCTTGTCCACCCCAATTTCAGCATGATTATTTATATAGACTAAATCCTCAAAATATTTGAAGAATAAACTGCATTTTATTTTAAGCTATTCTTCATGTGAGGTAAGAAGCAGTGAGGCTGAGCAGCTGGTGCTTGGACTAAAAAAAGAAGGAGCACTCCAGCGCTCATTCCTGTTGTGTACAGGGCCATGTTGAGACTGGTTTTATGTTTAAATAAAAATACCTATTGTTGGTTTACCCTGAAACTGAGTTCTTTGCCCCAGTTATGCAGATCCTGGTATAATTCAAATCCAGTTTAGATGAGCTAATCACAGGGGGTTTTTTTGGATGATATTACACACAGAGGGTGAAATCCTTGCTCCAGTGAAATCAGTGGGAGTTTTTGCCATAGACTTCAGTGTGGCCAGGATTTCACCCCAAATGTTCTCACACATATTAGGTTGTATCCTGGATACAAGGCCCCTTTTATTCAGTATACAGAATGAATTAATTACTTCTTGATCCTAAGGAAAATCAAAAGGATTTGAAAGTGCTCACACTGCTGATTTGCTGCTTGGATCATGTAGTTGGCACAGACATATCTGACAATATATTAAAAATATAAAATGAAATTATAAAATCAGATTTTAAGTTTTTCTAAAAATGTATTTTAGGATAAAACAAATGCAAAACGATTACCTGGGCTCCTGGATATGAACCAGAAGAGTGAGAATCCCTGGAGGGATTTATTTTTATGGGCAGTACTTCAAAACCGGCACAAGATGGCAAACTATTTCTGGGCTATGGTAAGCTTCAAAATATAACTACTTTAGGCCACTTATTAGCCATTTGTTTTAGATCTGAAATATTAGTATATTCAGTCTTGCAGTTATGAAGTGAAGATATATATGTTTGTCCTTCAAGACATGAGATATGACTTTTATGGAGTCTTTCACCTCTGAATTGCTTTAGTGTGAATGTAGCTCAGGCTGGTAGTGGCCAGAAGTTACATAAACATGGTGGGAGCCACAGCTGGTATAAATCAATGCAGCTTCATTGGCTTCCATTAAGCTCTGCTGATTAACACAATATGAGCATCTGGCCCTTGATTTTAATCACTGTCTTCTGGGTAGTCAGTGACCCTTTGCCTCTGACCTCACATTTTGTTCCTTTTCCAGTGGGTTAATTGTGTGTTTGGTTTTCGCACCATGGGGAAGGTAGAGGCACAACAGCATACCCATTACTCATGCTCTGCATCTGTGAGGAAATGTGTTTCTCTGTTTCCACCAGTCACTCTTCTCCTCTTGGCCCTTCCCTGCTGTCTGAAAGTCAGAGCCCTTTAAAGGGTCTCCAGCTGGGTTCCCAACCATGGAGATGACCCCAAAAATCACTAGTCTGAAAGAGGTACTGGAACTACAATTCCCATGAGGCACTGCAACAGCATTTCCAAATCAAGTAATTCAGCCCAAGTTTTCTGTTGCTTGTATTTCTGCCGCCTACCCAAACAAACCAAAACAAACCAACAAACAAACTTAAAGTTTTCCACAGAATCCCCTCCCCATTTTTCAACCAGCTCTAACGGTGACATTCCCATCATTCAGAATCATTAATATTTATCGTAGGCTGCCCCCATCCCCTTTCCATTTTCTAGGGACAAGAAGGTGTAGCTGCAGCTTTGGCAGCTTGTAAGATTCTCAAGGACATGTCCCGACTGGAGACTGAGGCTGAAGTAGCCCGTAGGATGAAAGAAGCCAAGTATGATCAGCTCGCTCTGGGTAAGCAAGTGCAGTCTTTAAGATCATTATCAAATATTTAAGATGTGAATGGCACTGGAAGACCAGCTAGCAAAAAACATCTTAAAGTAATAACAGACATGCTCCTAGGAGTACCCCAACCCTTTTGAAGCTTTGCCAATCCCAAGCATTCAGATATCACAAGTCAGAACCACCTCCCTCCCCACCAAAGTCACAAGAGTAACGTATAAATTATAAGATTTTAAACCATTATTTTTGCTCTACCCTGTGATTTTTAAGGCTTTAGAGGAAACTGGCCAGCCCCAATTTAAGTGGGACCATTTCAGGTTCAAAGTACTCTCTGAAATACACACACAAAAATGCAGGACCCCTGCTGGGCACTTGAAGTGGGTACACCCACTAGCCCTTCCTAATCTCCAGGGTGGGGAAGCTGCCTCTCCCTTCTAACCCTGGCTTTATCATTGTGTCTCTGTCTCTCTAAATCATGCTCCCAAGGCCCTCACAAAATTAGACTCTCAAGATTTCCAGTGCTTGCTGGTATTGCCCAAGCTGAAATTACCGTAAGAACATCCTCTCTCACTGCATTTTGATAACTTAAAGCTCCTGATCCTAGACGAAAGCAGGAAGTACAGAGGTGTGTGGAAGTGGCAGATGAAATAAAGAGGTAGCTGAAACACTTTCAAACCTCAAAAAAGCTTTAAGTATGGATTTGGAAGTCTATTCGATAGCTTGGGTCAGTTCATTATTCAAACCAGTTCAAGTGCCCTGTAGATTTACTCCCCAGCCTTGTGGCAGCTGCATAGATGCCAAGGCAAAGCTTTTGAACACGTGAAACCAACCAGCTTGCTAGATTTTAATTTAACGTTCCAAATGGCAGCCAAAATTAAAATAATCACCATCAAGGATACACGACAGATCCCAGCAAAAGCCAGGACCGGATTAAGCAATCCAGGGCCCCAGGCACACCCTGGCACACAATGTTGCCCATGGCTTTGACCTTCTAGTTGCAGCCTTGATGGCAGGAGTGCCATAGGGAGATGTCCCCCTTCCTTCAGCAGCATCTGTGGTGGCAGCAGGGGAAAGATGAGGGTGGCATTACATGGGTCCCCTGGAACTTCCGCCAGCAGCTGGGTTTGTCTGACAGGGGGTGAGCCAGGTCTGCTGCACTCTTCTCCTCCACAGAGTTCTCTGTTAGGTGGTGTTGGCAGGGCCCTAGAGCAACAAGGCTTTGGCTGCATCTGCACTTGGATCTGGGGGTGGGATTTGCGGGTTGCGTAGATGTACTGACACTAGCTCTGCCTGAGCCAGCGCAACAAAAGTAGCCCCATAACCCCAGTAGCCTGGGCAGTGGTGGTGGCCTGGGCTAGCCGTGCCAAGTGAAAACCTGCCCAGACCCCTTTGGTACGTACTGCGGGCAGCTAGTCTGGGAGGCCATTGCCTGTGCTATCATAGTTACACTGCTGTTTTTAGTGTGTTCAGCTGGGTGCGAGCATGAGCACGGTCTGGCAAACATCACTGAATCCATTTACACAAGGGTCACATTTTCCAGGTTGCCTTTGCAATCATGAGGGCTAGACATTTTTTGTTTCTAAAATCAGAACAGAGACTCTGGGGCAATCACATGAATGCTGGAGTCCTAGACAAAGGACTGTAGGGCCACTGAAATCAATGAAAGTCTTTCGATTAACTTCATTGGCCCGGGATCAGACCAACAGCGCCTAGAAGTCTTAATCTGGTCCTGACAACGATATGTACTTCAGTGAGCATATTCAAGGGATGCTGCAAAATAAACTCATATCAAACTATAGAAAGGCAACTTCAAAAAACAGTGACACTGCGAAGCCAAAGTGATTGAGATGATGAAGGCTGGGATAGGAAATGCTCTAGAGTGGTGGTGGTGGGGGGGAAGGGATGAGAGATCAGTAGAATGACAGACACAGTAACCAACCCAGACACAATGAGCACACTGTGACTTACTTCTGCTGGTGCGCTCATTGCCATAGCAACCAAGCACTAAGACCAAAGGCCAGCTCCTGTTAAAGAATTTTGCCCTAAAAGGGCCAATGTTGGTGTGCAACATGTCTGTGGCTTGAAACCATGGTTAGTTGGGTAAGGCCTGATATTGAGCACCCTCATTTCCCTTGGATTACCCATGGGAGTGGAGGGTGCTTGGCACCTTAAAGAATCAGGTTCTTCAGTGTGTAAGAAAACCTACCAGAGTTTGGTTTGTGCTGGATACTGCATTAAATTCTGCATATGAAGTGGCTTCACAGTTGGGCCTTTAATGTGTATTTGTAAAAGGGGCTTTTATGTCATCTGTGGAAGAACTGAGGGACAATATATCAATAAAAAGTCAAGTAGGTGTGAAAAAAATTAAACAGACTAAAGGCTGAGAAGAAATCATGTAGTCAAGAAAGGGGCAATGAATGGGCACCTAAGGGGGATGAATGATTTCTGCAATAGCTTTTTGTAAACACTTACATTTAAGGAGACATTTTCAAAAGCATTTTTACCACAATTCCCTGAATATTGACTCTTTTCCCAAGAGAAATATACAAGTTCTCTCTCCTGCCCCAGTGTGTATGCACAGATGTATTTTCCATGACAGATCCACAGCTCTACATTTCCTTCGCTTGGCAGAGCTATTCAGTGAATGCTATCACAACAGTGAGGAACGAGCTTTTGCTTTACTGGTGAGGAAAAACCAATACTGGAGCAAAACCACCTGTCTCCACTTGGCTACAGAAGCAGACGCTAAGTCTTTCTTTGCACATGATGGTGTCCAGGTGAGCAAAATGCAAGGAGATTCCCTTGTGACTTTCTAGGGGCAGGACTGTACTTTTAGGCACAGCCCTGAACAAAAGAGGAGTTCATGGATAAACTGCAACCCCCCAAGAAACATCTCGCTGAGGCACAATTCCTCCAGTGCTCCCCTGAAGCAACAGGAGATGGGAGTATTCTACTGCAGTGCATTACTCACCTCCTTGTGTCCAGTCAGGCCATCAGTGGAGAAGAGGTCAAAGCTCTGGCTCCACCCACTCCCTGCTTTCTCCCACCCAGCTGCTCACAGAAGAGCACTGGGAATGCATCTGCTATTCTCCATTTCACAACTGAAGCCAGGATCTGAAAGGATTGAATGAAGCTGTACAGAGGTGTGGGGTGACTCCATCACATGGCTGAGTTAGGCCAAACAAAGTTTCTTCATGACAAAGTTAACTCGAATTATAACTCGGGGTGCCTATTTTGGTTGGACATATTCCTGGAGGTTTCATCACATGACACAATCTTTAATGAAAGATTATTTTTTAATTCCTGGAGACTCCAGGGCAATCCTAGAGTGCTGATAACCCTAATTATAACTTAAGCGTTACCCTTAACTTGAGGTCCTGTCCACCCACAAAACCAATAAGTGAAGTGTGGTGATGCTTTTATCTCAAGTTTGCTGCCCATCAGGGTGTGTTGGCTACAACTCATCAGCCCAACTCATCAGCGACTGTCACAGTCCCTCTGTAGCATGGACACAGGCTAGCTCCGCTCCAGTGCCGCTAAGTCCTCCAATGTCTTCCTACAATCCCCCATCCTGTCCCTTCCCCACATGTGCCCAGAAAGGAGATACATTCTCCTGCAATTTGCCGTGAAAGAATTCATAGATCAGATCAGCTTACTGCCGCGCAAAGAACCATGGGATATGTCCCCCGAAGTCTTAGTGCCATACATGAACAAGAGCCGTGCCAGCCTGGACATGGCTGCTTTCCCTTGGGCTAGGTTATCTTGAGAGGAGTAAGAGAGTGTCGACAACTGGAGTTAACTCCGCAGTGAAGACATGCCCACAATCTAGTTTTACATAGTGTTTCTTGTCCCACCCTTCAAGATTCCATAGAAGAAAAATGTGATTTAGCTGCACGTTCACTTGCTTTGTGTCAAAGCCAGGCTTACTTTCTGTTCTTTTTCTTTGACTTTCAGGCCTTCTTGACAAAAATCTGGTGGGGAGACATGTCAACAAGCACGCCAATCCTGAAATTAATCTGCGGGTTCTGGTGTCCTCTTCTAATCTACACTAATCTAATAGCATTCAGGTATAAACAAAACGTGTGTGTGTGTAAAAGCTGCCCCGGAGGGTGGGAAAAGAATCAGTAAGAGACAAATGAAAAATATATTGCACACACAGAAATAATCACAGAAAGAAATGAGGGTGAAGTTCCCTCTGGGCAGAGGAGCCAGCCATTAAGCCCTAGGGGTACGTCTTCACTGCTGCTGTGAGATGTCATTCCCAGCGTGGGTAAAGAGACTCATGCTAGTTCTGCTCGTGCAAGCGTGCTAAAAGTAGCGTAGATGTCGCAGGACAGGCAGGAGCTCAGCGCAGGGCGGGCAGGCAGACTTGAACTCAGGCAACTAGCTCAAGCCACCACCTGTGCTGCAATCTCCAGCGAAGCTAGCGTGAGTCTGGGAATCACACCTCCCAGCTGCAGTGTCGACATAACCTAAGAAGCCTTAAGTGATATTTAATGGTTGCACGGGCCTCGTGCAGCCCCTTACTGTGCTTAAAACGTGAATGTATTCTCCACTTGTAAGGTAACTCCCTTTTCTTCATGTATAATAATGCCTGCATCTGTAATTTTCACTCCATGCATCTGAAGAAGTGGGGTTTTTTTACTCACAAAAGCTTATGCCCAAATAAATCTGTTAGTCTTTAAGGTGCCACCGGACTCCTCACTGTTTCTGTAGGTTCCCTTCTGTGCTGGATCTTCAGCTTGCCCCCTACAGGGTGTGAAATACATAGCCTGGCAAGTTCTCTCTAGCCACATAACAGCCTCTTACTGGGGAGAGATCCCAGGCCAGGCTGCTGTAATATAGCCCTCAGTTCAGCAGTGAAGAGCTGCCTTCCATCATCTTTCAATAATAATTATATTTTCTTACAGTGAGCAAGTACAATCAAAGAATGAGCCAGAGACATTCAGAGAGCTAGACAGCCTAGACACAGAAAGGACTTTGCTTTTTTCCAAGGAGGGGGATAGGTAAGTCTGAGTCAATCCGTTAATATCGTTTGGAAGTTGAATTAAGACAACAACAGCCAAAGCACAGGACATTTCTCAGGGATTAATGACTAGCTGATAACCCAAAGGGCAGCTGAGGTGCCCTTGTCAGTCAATCCTCAGGAAATGCCCTGCCAAGGTCGTTATAATTATTACTGCATAAAGGGAAATGGGGAGATAAATAGGAGCATGGAGTTATTTTTAAATGAACAAAGCAACTTCAGTCAGTCTATACAGCTCATACCCACAGAGCTGATGGCTGGCGTATTAGCCAGATTCTCTCAAGTCTCCTCTTAGCATTTCATTCAGAGAATTACAGCTGCTGTGTATTGGATTTAAGGCCTAAAACTGCACAGGCCTGAGTAGCGAGCTGCTGAAAGACATACAGAAAGCAGACTCTGAACTCATTCAACTTTGGGATCTGAACTTTCTGATACTTTATCCCTCTGTATCCAGGTCTTCACAGCCAAATCCACAATAATTATGTTTAGTATAGTAGCACCTAGCATTTCTATCCCAATCAGAATCCTCTCAGGCTAGGTGATAGACATACATATCATCAGAGACAGGCCTTGCTCTGAGATGCTGAGGGTATAGCTACACTGCAAGGGAAGGCTGTGATTGATTGTTAGCCCATGCTGAACTCATGCCACCATCTCTACCCTGCTGTTGTTGCCCATGCTAGCTAGATTAAACCTAGGACAAGTATGTCTACCTGTGCTACAGTCACACCTGCCCTTATAGCATAGGCATATCCTTTATTTATAAATAGACAAGATGGAGGACTGGAGAAAGCAAGTATTATCATCCCCATTCTGCAAATGGGATCCAGGCAGAGGGAGATGATTTAACTTGGCCACAGACACACATCAATTCCACAGCACAGCCAGGTTTCAGAGCAGCAGCTGTGTTAGTCTGTATTCGCAAAAAGAAAAGGTGTACTTGTGGCACCTTAGAGACTAACCAATTTATTTTAGCATAAGCTTTCGTGAGCATGAGCTGTAGCTCACGAAAGCTTATGCTCAAATAAATTGGTTAGTCTCTAAGGTGCCACAAGTACTCCTTTTCTTACAGCAGAGCCAGTGATTGGACCCAGATCTTCCGAGTCCCAGTCTAGTGTCTTAATCACAAAACCATCTGTTTTAGATCTGAAGGTGGCCAAGAGGTTTTCACCATACATCAGGAAAGAGATATTCTCCCTGTGATAAGTACACAACTCCCACGGATGCTAAAGGGAGCTGAATGCCTGGATCAGACACATGCAATTCAACAAACGTGATTAAATCATCCACATATTTGATTTTGTTTCACTAGCATTCTTTGAAAGGTCTGAACAACTGAAGTTGAGGGAATGTCATATAGTGAACAGAGTCAGAACTCTTTGATTCTATTCTTAATTTTGACATTGAATTGATGACACTTTGGGGAAAAGTCACTAGTTTCTCTGCTTCATCATCCATAAAATGGGTATAATAGCACCTCTGTCTCTCTCAAGAAAGCAGTTATTAATTCATGTCTATGAAATGTTTTGATGTCCTCATATTAAAGGGAGGTATATTGTTCTTGGCCAGTATGTTTTCTGTTCCATGTGTTATTGTCTCAAGAGTTTATGTTAATATGGGATTTCTCTCCCTCCCAGGTCTGTTTCTTTTTCTGAATCCCAAGTCACAATTATTTGTTTACGACATCTGCCTGTTGCCATGGGAATGGCTGTGCTCATGTAATAAATTTAGTGTTATGACACCTGCTCCCTAGAGAATCAAGGGAGAACAGGCTGGCTATGAATTAAAATATTTTGAAGTTAGAAATAGTACCAGGAGAAATAAAAACCTCACATAGAATCAATTGCTTTGTAATTTGTTTGAGATGCAGAGGAAGTTTTCCCTTAGTGTGCACATCCCTTTTTAAAGAGTGATCTCCTTCACGTCAAGGAACACAAACTTAAAGGTGCAATAACATCCTTAGTCTATGGACAGCAACTTAGATGGAAACAAGCACAGCCAGGGGAGACACTAAAGTTAAAAAAAGAGAGAGAGAGAGAGAGAGATTTTACTGAATCAGATTGCTGCCAAATATGAGGGTTTTGCATTATATGCACAGAATAACTTACTTTTACACTGTATAGCACTTTATATACTAAAGAACTGCGGCATGTTTTGCAGGTATATGGCCAGATTTTCCATCTGTTACCATAACACTCAGTCCACCACAATACAGTCAGCGCTTCCATTAATAACTCACAAGCCTGACTTCTTTACTGAGAACTCCTGTCATACTTTTCAGTGATTCACTATAACTTTAAGCTTAGGACCAGACTGAAATACTCTTACTCGTATCGAGTAGTACCTCACTTCTTGAATAGTTCCATTGATTTCAGCAGCACTACTTGAGAAATAAGGTACTACTCAATGTGAAAAGGGGTATTTCAGTCTGGTCCTAAAGGAACACACATGTTTAAAATCCTATATTTTAAAAGAAAGTCCTCACCTGTGTGAAAAATAGTACCTTGGTTTATCAGAAACAAAATAATTTTTAGAATATACATTTACTTGTCAGCATTGATGGTGTCTGTTCACTTTTCACGTCTTGCTCTCATTTTGAACAATGAATAATAACTAATCTGTTTCCCTTTTGGTCCTCATGCACTAGTATGATGCTGCAATGTTTGTGTTGCAAATGCTCAAGGGGTATGTTTAAATCCTAGCCCTCCTCCAAAAAAACAAAAACAAAACCTAAACACACACACATACACAAAACCAAAAAACCAAACAAACACTAAGCAAACCTATTCCACTGTACTGAAAAGGAAATACCAAGCTAAAGGAATGAAAACATGTAATAGGTTTGGTACAGTTTTGTTTTAAAACATACAAAGCGTAAATGTTGCCTGTCAGTGTTTCTACTATGACAAGGTGTTGTCTTCAAGGAGAACTTAGACTATCCAGAGCCAGATCCTCAGCTGGCATAAATCAGTATTGTTCCACTGGTTTCAATGGAGCTCCTCTAACATGCACCAGCTGCAGATCTGGCCCTCATTAGCTCTGGGGAGACCCTCGGCACTGCACAGGATCAGGCCCAGTGTTCTTTTACAAAGAGACTTTAGGAAACTGTCACTATAATTTGCTCTCTTTGTTTTACAGGGTAGATGTCAAAGTAGAGAAGCAGAGGTCTGCTGAAAACATAGCATGGGCAACATTCATGTTTACTCGCTGGAAAAAGTTTTGGAGTGCCCCTGTAACAGTGTTTATGGGGAACGTTATCATGTATTTTGCTTTTCTGTTTCTATTTACCTATGTCTTGTTACTGGATTTTAAACCAGCACCACCTGAGGGTCCCTCTGTTAAGGAGATTATACTTTACTTTTGGGTTTTTACATTGGTCTTGGAAGAAATCCGACAGGTCAGTAACCTCCTACATACCTTCACAATAGTGTGCTAAATTCAGGTAGTAAGATTCAGAGTTGATTTACAGGCTATGTAATCCCATTGTCTTCAAGAGGTGGAATGTCAAGGACAGCTTCATGTAGGAAAGCACTGAAATTTTTTCATTGCTCTGCACCTTTTCATTACCCAGAGCAGCCTGTTTATTTCCTCCTCACATACACCCAGCTGACATGCCGGTCCTCCATCACACAGAGCTGCAGCTCTACACTTGTTCTTCCAGGAGAAGCTCCAGCTGCTACCAATATTCTAGGTAGTTTGCTGATGCTCTGGGATTGGTGAGTCCTTCCTCTGGTCTAACAGCTATCTGTTTACCTATCCAGCTCCACTCACCACAACCAAGCTCCGTTCCCGCCGAATGGCTAATCCGCCCTACTTCCTCCTCATGGAGTGATCCCATCTACCACTGTTGTGCCTCCCACTTCCTCCAGAATTTTATATATATTTATATTCAGGAGTGAAGAGGTTAATGAGTTTGCCTCTTAAACAGTTTAACTTTTGTTTTTCTAAAATGCTTTTCAGTTCAGTCCATTAGGCTATGTTTAGATTTTTTAAAGATTTCTCCATTAATCTTGCAATTGTTTTTAGAATATCTTCAGCTGCCTGGTTTAGCAGCTGAAATGGTGTGTCCACAATACTGTAGGGAACTACCTAGTTTGTATATACACAAATGGCCTCGATCGGGGAGTACCTGGACTGCTTACCTTGTTGTCATAGACCCTGACCCTAAAAGAATTAGTGGGCCTTCTCCTTTAGCTCAAGAAGTAGGGGGCCAGTTCTCCTGAAGTATGAGGATAAGGGTTATAGCCCCACTTTTACTAGGAAGTTCTGAATGGCCAGGGCTTGCAACATGGTGAAAGCTCAGAGGGTAGCCACCAATTTGTCACAAATCAGATGAGCATATTTTATAGAGGTTATGTCGGACTGTTGTATCCTGTCACACTGAGGTGATCAGAGAGGATGTTTGGGCTGAGGATTGTTTGTAATACATCCGTAAAACATCAAGAGCCCAATGTTGTAGACATGGACACCTAAGTAAGAGAACCAACTGCTGTCTGGATACTCAAAGCTAGTTAGTGGCAGTTTAAGCATCTAGGGTTTAAATACGCAGTTTAGGCGCCCATACCTGGACATTGAGATCAGTCTGATTGAAAAGATTTTTATAAAACAGAAACAGATATGGCCAACCCCCAGTGCTGAAAAAAATTATGAGTCAGCCTCCAAAAAACTAATGAGATTAACTTAAATATCATGAATTTTTTAAAAAATAATAAATGTTGGGTTATTTTCATTTGCTTTCTGGGGCTAGAGCTTCTAGTGTGCAGCTGGGTCATGTTTTCAAGCTTTTCTCATGGGGGTCAGATACGTACCTTCTTTTTTAAAAAAAGAAAAAGCTGAGATGCTCATGTAATCACTTGACTTGAGGAGCTGGGGCTTGCAGAAAAACAGCAAACATCACAGGACTCACACTAAAATCACAAGAGCTGGCAAGCTAACACGGACAATTGTTGCTCCCTTGCAGAGTTTCTTTACAGATGAAGACATGAATTTAATTAAGAAATTTAAACTGTATGTGGAGGATAACTGGAATAAGTGTGATATGGTGGCCATCTTTCTGTTTATAATTGGAGTGACCTGCAGGTTGGTATCTTTCAAGAGTTTTGCCCCTGTATCTGTTTCATGTGACATGGTCAGATATCTCTAATATGAAGCCAGGTAGGCATGTACTATAACAAGAGATCATAGAATATCAGGGTTGGACGGGACCTCAGGAGATCATCTAGTCCAACCCCCTGCTCAAAGCAGGACCAATCCCCAATTTTTGCCCCAGATCCCTAAATGGCCCCCTCAAAAGGATTGAACTCACAACTCTGGGCTTAGCAGACCAATGCTCAAACCACTGAGCTATCCCTCTCCACTAAACTATTCCTGCCACCGTCCATGGGAGGCTCATGCATGCATCTAAGGGAAGGCTCTGGTGGCTTTTATTTTTCATCAGTTTTGAGACAGTAGAGTCTATATTGGTGGTAAGTTGGGCTGAAAGCACCCCTCTGTGAGCTCTAAACTTCCACTGGGCTAAAGAGGCTGTCACACAGACTACAGAAAAACGTATCTGGAACATAGAAACACTTGCACAGGGAAACATCATTTCCTCTTTGAGACAACATCAAATCGATGTACTCTCTTGTCTCACCTCTCTGTAGTCCTAGTGGTTTATATGGCCTCACACAGCTGACATGGGGAGGCTGGTGTTCCTGCAGTGGCTGGGTGCTTCTCATTGGCAGATGTTACATTCTTTTTACAGTGGGATGGTTGTGGCTCATGTGAGATACAAGCCCTAAGCACACATCCTTTCCTTGCCTGGATTCTACATTGAATCAACATGTATAACTCTATAAACAAGGTATCTGGGTGGTGTTTGAGGCTGTTTCATTTGGACTGTTTTGCAGAATGCTGAACTCAACATTTCAAGCTGGCCGTACAGTACTTGCCATTGATTTCATGGTGTTCGCTCTGAGACTGATACATATTTTTGCCATTCACAAGCAACTAGGGCCAAAGATCATAATTGTGGAAAGAATGGTGAGTATGAGCTCTCCCAAAGAGAAATTCTTGAGGATTCTGCAGTGAAACAAACAAAACAAAAGTTTGAGCATTATAATTTTAAGGAAGTCAGTGTATAACTCTTCTTTTTTTAAAGTGCTCTAGTTTGGCTTATATTGTAGCATCATTAAGAGTTATTATCAGCCAGATGTGGCTCCTCTCAAAGAGGTCTGTAGCACATACATTTTGGATCCAATTCAGCATTGCCTTGCACCTTGTATAGTCATTTACCCCAATGCATTTTACACCCAGTTAGCTCAGCTGTAAGTGATTATACAAAAGTGCAGGGCAACTGTTAATTGAGCCCTTTGTTTCTTTCTTCTTTGTTCTACCCTGCTTTACTCCTTTACAATTTGGGAGGCTGTGCAGTGAGATTGCCATTTCTTTCTCCTTCCCCACTGTCCTGGTCTCTCTCTTCCTGTTCCCTTTCGGTTTAAACATAACTGCTTGTCTGGTTCAGGAGTTGGGGCTCCAATCCTGAGAGGTATTTTGGCTTCTGAGTCCTGTTGATTTCAATGTGAGTTAGGTGTTTATATACTTTTGAGGAGCTCGGCCTGTGTTCTTTTGGAGCAAAGAATCTGAAATGGGAGACAAGCCAGTTACAGAAGAACTCTACCATTATGTCAGTGGCAGGGAGGCACATAGCCCTGTAGAGATAATCTGGGTTAGTGCCTGGCAGAGGTAGGAGCTGCTTTCTAACCATAATTTATAATGAAAATGTGTTTATAAGGCAGAAGTGTTGATACAGTGTTTTCATTTACTACCCTACAGCTGCAGGAAATGTACAAGAGTTCCAGTTACCACACGTGGGTACAGACTTGAACAGTTTGGTGATTTTTATTTGGGTATGTTAATCATATAGGTCAAACAGCACATGTTAATAATTAACATGGAGTTAATCTGACTGCAAATACTAATATAGCCATCTACAAACATTTGTTTCCCATCCTAGCTCACCCTAGGGCTCAGCAGAAACTCTATTCTAGACAAGGCTTAAGATTAATAAACTTAAAAGCTACCAGACTGTTCACATCTGTGCACCAGTGGAATAACTGGAATACTTATGTCCCATTGCTTGAAGTACCAAGAGGATAAATGAAAACCACGCATTCATGCTTGTGTAGTATCACATACACAGTACTCATAGGTTTTTATTGCAAATTATGCTTACAGAATGCAAGTGAGTAACTTACAGCTGCAGCTCCCACCTCCTCCAGGCTGAGCACTAGGCTAAACCATCACTATGAACAAGTGTTTGTGCAGGGTCTACTACATTTATAATAGAGCTGTCAAGCAATTTAAAAAAATTAATCACGTGATTTATCACACTGTAAAACAATAATAGAATGCCATTTATTTAAATATTTGTGGATGTTTTCTACATTTTCAAATATATTTATTTCAGTTAAAACACAGAATACAAAGTGTACAAAGCTCACTTTATATTTATTTTTTATTACAAATATTTGCACTGTAAAAAACCCAAAAGAAACAGTATTTTTCAATTCACCTCATACAAGTACTGCATTCAATCTTTTTATCATGGAAAGTTGAATTTACAAATGTAGAATTATGTACAAAAAATAACTGCATTCAAAAATAAAACAACATAAAACTTTTGAGCCTACAAGTCCACTCAGTCCTATTTCTTGTTCAGCCAAACACTCAGACAAACAATTTTGGTTATATTTGCAGGAGATAATGCTGCCCACTTCTTCTTCACAATGTCACCTGAAAGTGAGAACAGGTGTTCTCATGGCACTGTTGTGGCCGGCGTCACAAGATATTTACATGCCAGATGTGCTAAAGATTCATATGTCCCTTCATGCTTCCGCCCTACTGATGGGTTCTGCTCGATAACAATCCAAAGCAGTGCAGACCGACACATGTTCATTTTTATGTTCTGAGTCAGATGCCACCAACAGAAGGTTGATTTTCTCTTCTGGCGGTTCGGGTTCTGTAGTTTCCACATTGGAGTGTTGCTTTTTTAAGACTTCTGAAAGCATGCTCCACACCTTGTCCCTCTCAGACTTTGGAAGGCACTTCAGATTCTTAAACCTTGGGTCGAGTGCTGTAGCTATCTTTAGCAATCTCACATTGGTACCTTCTTTTCGTTTTGTCAAATCTGCAGTGAAAGTGTTCTTAAAATGAACAATATGTGCTGAGTCATCATCCGAGACTACTATAACATGAAATATATGGCAGAATGCGGGTAAAAGAGCCCGAGACATACAATTCTCCCCCAAGGAGTTCAGTCACAAATTTAATTAATGAATTATTTTATAACGAGCATCATCAGCATGGAAGTATGTTCTTTGGAATGGTGGCCAAAGCATGAATGGGCATATAAATGTTTAGCATACCTGTCATGTAAATACCTTGCAATGCTGGCTACAAAAGTCCCATGTGAATGCCTCTCACTTTCAGGTGACATTGTAAATAAAAGGCGGGAAGCATTATCTCCCGGAAATGTAAATAAACTTGTTTCTCTTAGCAGTTGGCTGAACAAGAAGTAGGACTGAGTGGCTTGTAGGCTCTAAAGTTTTGCATTGTTTTGTCTGAGTGCAGTTATGTAACCAAAAAAATTCTACATTTGTAAGTTACATTTTCACAATAAAGAGATTGCACTCTAGTATTTGTAGGACGCGAATTGAAAAATATTATTTCTTTTGTTTATCATTTTTATAGTGCAAATATTTGTAATAAAAATAATATAAAGTAAGCAGTGTGCACTTTGTATTGTGTTGTAATTGAAATCAATATATCTGAAAATGTAGAAAAACATCCAAAAATATTTAATAAATTTCAATTGGTATTCTATTGTTTAACAATGCAGTTTAAACTGTGATTAATTACAATTAATTTTTATTGCAATTAATTTTTTGAGTTAATTGCATGAGTTAACTGCGATTAATCAATTGCATGAGTTAACTGCGATTAATCAACAGCCCTAATTTATCATTGTGTTAAGTCACACAATCAATTAACATTTTACAAAGTGAACAAAAGCTCTAGTCTAGAGAAGGCCATAAAATATGAACTTAATCCTGCTCCCAATCCAAGTCAATGCAAAAAACTCCCAATATCTTCAGTGGTACAGGACTGAGCCCTACATCAAAGAAAGAGAACTGTATTTCACTAAATGATATTGGCTACAAAGGTATATCAAATGGGATAACATCAGACTTTTCCCCTTGAATAGAAAGGCAAGCCAAAACTGCCTATTAACTCCTTTTTCCTCTTGCTGTAGCACTAGTGGTTTCTAAAATAGGGCAAATCCACTTATTTAATGAAATTCAAATAGCAAATGAAGATCACAAAGAAATATTTCGAGATCATCGACTGCTCCTTTTTAGCAACTGCAACATCACAGTCCCCATGTATAGACAAATTTGGAATGATCTCAGACCACAAAGTAAATTGGCAAAAGTCTGAGATACTCCCACTATCTCTTGTCTGTTTTACTAACTGGAATTTCAAATGATCTCCTGCAGGATTAAAATACCTAGGCTTTCAGCTAGCTGTCCAATCATAAAATCTAATTAAAATGAATCTACAGTCACCAAATGAAATTAATAGGCAGCAGGTTTAAACCAAACAAAAGGAAGTATTTTTTCACACAACACCCAGTCAACCTCTGGAACTCCTTGCCAGAGGATGTTGTGAAGGCTAAGACTATAATAGGGTTCAAAAAGGAACTAGATAAATTCATGGAGGATAGGTTCATCAATAGCTATTAGCCAGGATAGGCAGGGATGGTGTCCCTAGCCTTTATTTGCCAGAAGCTGGGAATGGGCAACAGGGGATGGATCACTTGATAATTGCTTATTCTGTTCATTCCCTCTGGGGCACCTGGCATTGGCCACTGTCAGAAGACTGTGGCTAGATAGACCTTTGGTGGTGGTGGAATCTCCTTCCTTTGAGGTTTTTAAGATCAGGCTTGACAAAGCCCTGGCTGGGATGATTTAATTGGGGATTGGTCCTGCTTTGAGCAGGGGGTTGGACTAGATGACCTCCTGAGGTCCCTTCCAACCCTGATATTCTATGATTCTATGATTCAGGTTATCCTGTTTTCAGCAAGGCTGTCAATCCTACTGCAGGTTTCAGAGTAACAGCCGTGTTAGTCTGTATTCGCAAAAAGAAAAGGAGTACTTGTGGCACCTTAGAGACTAACAAATGTATTTGAGCATAAGCTTTTGTGAGCTACAGCTCACTTCATCGGATGCATCCTACTGTAAAATCTCACAGAGAACCCGTGTCTGAAAACCTCAATAAGGCACATTTTTAATCACGTAAGGGTAAGAGTCTGAATTAAAACATGCCCTTAGCTCGAATGGTGGGCAAAGAGGTCACAAAAGGGAATCTTGATCACAAAACAAGAATTGTATGATGGCAGAGGGTTAAAAAGGAAAGCGTGCTCAAGCATTTCTCTCATTCCACCTCAAAAAATAGGCTCTTAAAGAAACGAGAGAAACTTTCTGCCTGTTCTGTATATTAATTTCAGTCAACATTTTTTTCTCTCCTTTAGATGAAGGATGTTTTCTTCTTTCTCTTTTTCCTGAGTGTATGGCTCATTGCCTATGGTGTGACGACTCAAGCCTTACTCCATCCTGATGACAGCCGAGTGGAATGGATATTCAGAAGGGTGCTTTATCGTCCCTACCTTCAGATATTTGGGCAGATTCCACTGGATGAAATAGACAGTGAGAAATTGTTTTTTAACTGATCAGACTACCATAGAATAAGTACCATTAATCAGAGCACGGGTATCCATACTGGGGTTGTCACTTTCTTATCTTTGTCCTGTAGGAAAAAGTCTGCATGTTATGATGTAATGACATTTTGCACTGCAATATCTGGATGTTATACTGTATATTGTCAAGTTGTGCTGCAGCATCAATGCAGGTCTTGTCTACACAGTTAAACTGAGTTAAGCCTGGTCTACACTGGGTGGGGAGGGAATCAATCTAAGTTATGCAACTTCAGCTACCTGAATAACGTAACTAAAGTCGACGTACTTAGATCTACTCACTGTGGTGTCTTCACTGTGGTGAGTCAACGGCTGACGCTCCCCCGTTGACTCTGCCTGCACCTCTCACAGTAGTGGAGTACAGGAGTCGACAGGAGAGCGCTCGGGGGTCGATTTATTGCATCTAGACGCAATAAATCGACCCCTGCTGGATCGATCGCTGCCTGCCGATCCAGCGGGTAGCATAGACATACCCTTAGTTAAGCTGGTGCAAACCTTGGGTTGATACCTTATTTCAATGACTTATTTCATTAAACCTGTTCCTAATTGACTGAACCTAAACCCAAATAAGCCTAGTGTAAACTGAAATCAGAGCATTTACACAACCTTTTGCACCAGTTTAACTAAATCAACTTTAAGAAAAATCACAGCTTTAGTTAAACCAGTGCAACTTTGCATGTAGACAAGTTCTTGTACTTCAAAGTCACAATCAGGAGGCAGCACCACCTTACGTTCACAGTGAATTATCCAAAATTGAATGAGGCTGGTAGCTATATGGTCAGGCATTTCAAACAATATACAAAAACAAACCAATTGACCTACCAGAAATAGAAGTACATGAACATAAGAGCACTATTGTGGCATTACCCATGGAGAAACAGAGTAAATCCAGAGTAGGCCATATTCTAAGGAAGTCTGATAGAATGCTACAGAATCCTCATTCTCAGCAGTGCCAAACATTAACAATATTTAAATCCAAATCAAGCATGAGGATATAGAGGTGATCCAAGAGGTATAATGGAATAAACAAACCAAGCCAGCCTTTCCTCACATTCACTCTGTTTATTAGCGGATGAAATGATGTCTTGGAGAAGCTGTCAGAGACAGCATGAAAGTCAAGACAGCAGGTTCCTGTGAAGAGTTTTCTCTTGTTAAATGCATACCCAAGAGGTGCCAGCTAGGAGGCAAGAGTGTGGGAGATCACAGCTGCTAAAACTAACTCAAAACTAATTGATAAGAGATTAGAAGATTTAAAGGACAGGCTGGGTATGATAGAAATGACAAGTGCAAGTATCTGTTTGCAGGATTCCTGAAAGAAAATTGAAGTTTGAGAACTTGCTTAGATGTTCAATAAATAACAAAAGAGCTTCAAGCACGTTTTCCTGAAAGGCGAAATTCCAAGGTGGTAAACATTGCTGAGGCTCTCAGAGGGGGTTTGTTTAAGATGAAGAGAATAGTCAATAGGGCTCAGTAGACTCTGAAAACCTCTTTTTGGACATCTCCTAATGGCCAGTTGTGAAGGCCATCTTGGCACTGGAGGAGCAGCAAAGATCTGTAGCTCTGACAATTAAGTCCTGCTGTAGCTGCATATCCCTCACATTTCTAAAGTAAAGGCACATTATGGATGTGTATATTGAACCCACACTAGAAACATTGGCTCTTTGTTACCTTCTAGTCCACCTAAAAAGCTGAGTCATCTGCTGCTTTCAGATGAAGGAATTATTCCTGTAGCTCAAGCAGTAGAGAGTCATTCTTCTAAGAGCTGAAGCTACAAACCTGGCTCTTGATGTAAGCACCCTCAGTGGGGCTTGAAGTCTAGTAAACCTGACACATTCAGAATGAGTTTCCCCAGGTGGTTACATCTAGTAGAGATTATATCTCATATTAAGTAATCAATAGTCACTGCTTTTGATTTGTATCTTAACAGAAAATGCATTGTTTGTTGTCTGAGTTTCTCATTCTTAAAAGAAGACAGGTTAAGGGATGCTAATTCAGTCGTCGTTCACACTCTACTTATCTATGACATATAGTACCTCGAACTTCAAGCATAATGTTAAATTCCTGAGCAAAATCCATCAGCTTGATGGCAAACAAACTGAGAGGCTGTCATGACCATTTTAGTGATTAAACATGGCAGCAGAACACACTGAGTATGTCCACCCTGCCATTTAAGGTATAGTTGTAGGGGTAAGAAAACCCATGCTAGCTTTAATCTGGCTTGCACAGGTGACAATTATAGTGAAGTTCTGGTGGCATAAATTAAATCTGCATGGGATGAACAAGCCCACCAGGGATGCTGGATACGTAACTCAAGTTCCTAGCTTGCACCAGGCTTTGTGCCACAGTATCTTCACTGCTTCTGCTATTTGTACTAGCTCAGTTAAAGCTAGTGTGGGTATACCTACCCACGCTACAATTACAGCTTAAATTGCAATGTAGACGTATAAAACTATTGTTTTATTTCCTCCTACCTCCCGCCATTTGCAGCATCTCGCATGCGTCTTCAGAACTGTACCTCTACCCTGAAGAGTCCACAAGAAAATTCACCATTATGTTCTAATACCTATGCCAACTGGCTTGTCATACTTCTGTTGGTCATTTTCTTACTGGTCACCAATGTGCTACTTATGAATCTCCTGATTGCAATGTTCAGGCAAGTGTCAATTAATTAATTCTGAGATGAGGATTGTGGGGTGGGAAGAGAAGGATTATTAAGAATGCATGCATACATATACATAAATGCTTATCTAAGCATTTTGTCTCTATTAGCAATTTTACTAATTAGTGGTAATCTTCAGTTTGTCCTTTTATGATCACACAGGTTTTAATTTCCCCTCCCCCTTTCACTATCTCCCTCAAAGGAAAAAAAACAAAAGAAACGTTCTCCTTTTTACCAAAAAAAATCAGCTAAAATCTACATATATACAAATCTGCAGGTGAAAGCAGCTGTAAACCTGGCAGACTTGCCCCTAGAGGATCCTCTCATAGGGGAATCCCTTGACTGGTTTAGGGGCCGACATAGTCCCTTGAAGTCAATGTATCTGTGCTGATTTACACCAGCTGAAGATCTGGCTCAGTATGGTTGCCTGATATAGGTTTGGTCTACACTTAAAAGTTAGGTTGGCATAGTTATGGAATGTGAATTTTTCAGGGCCCTGACCGACATAGTTATACCAAGCTAACTTTTAAGTGTAGACCAGGCCACAGCCTTACTCTGGCAAACTGCAGTTACCACCTTTAAAAAGGCTTGTGTCTTATTGTCTACTGTCTGAAGGCAATTACTGCAAATAATGTAATCTCTAATGAGGTGCACATACTTTATCTTTTATTTTAAAGAGGAACAACGAGAGAGTGATGGCAGTGGGGTGGCATTCACTCAGACTGAAGGGAAAATGATACTTTTGATTTTTTAGTAATGAATTTTAGGATTATGGGGGGAAAAGTTTAACATACTTTTTTTGTTTGGTTAAAGTTATACTTTTCAAGTTGTTCAGGGCAACGCAGACATCTTCTGGAAATTTCAGCGTTACAACCTGATTGTGGAATACCATGGCCGTCCAGCCTTGGCACCGCCATTTATCATTATTAGCCACATGCATCTGATTCTCCGAAGAATCTTTAAAAAGATGGAGCACAAAAAGGAACATCTGGGTGAGTTGTTAACAAACAGCTAGCAACCAGGTGATTCAGAGGAGCCTGACCACAGGTGGTGAATAAGAAACAGAGGAGAGCAAATAAACTTTCAAAAAACAAAAGCTTCTGTTTTCATTGATATGTCTTTAGTCATAAACAGTGTGAGAATACATATGATTTATAATCTCGCTTCTAAAATAAGAGGGTTTAGAGTTTTCCACAAGGTATCAACTTTTCTTTCTACAATATAATTAAATGGCCACATTTGTACTTTTAAAGGTGAGTAAATAGGCTGGTAATAATGTTTTTAAATTGGAGAATTTTAATGAATAAGCTGCTATTTCTGTTATTAATCTGCTTCTGAATTTTAGCAAATAGTGTAAAGGGGGGCATCCTTAAAACCATGTATGGGTTCTACTGTCTCCAGTGGAATTTCCCATTAGAGAGCGAAAGAGGGAACATTGCCAGAAATGGTAGCATCTTTATTATTTTTAAAGGTAGATATTTTTATATGCACTCACTATACTTCAACTTCTAATGCTCATTTTGCAGTGTCCTCTATTAATAAAGAGTGCATACAATTTAATAATATCAGTATGTTTCTCCTGTAGTAGACCCCCCCCATTCCATTTGTGCAGGTTGCCAATGTGCTTTGGAGTAGAATTCCAGGTGGTGGGTTTGACCTGTGATGCTCTAAATTGTTTTGGGACCTGGCTCCCTGAGAGACCACCTCTCCCATCCTTTGGCGTACTGCTGTAGTCAAGGTCAGTAGCGCCACGGTAGCTGGAGCTCTGTCAAACAGGAGGGGGCTGCTTGCGGAGCATTCCCTGCAAGAATTCTCTTTTGAATTCACTCCTTCCCCTGGTGGGCCAGAGCCCAGAGAAGTGAGCCCTCAAGGTCCATTTTTTACCCAGGCATTTGTGGAAGTTGTGTGAGCTGTCCACTGCATTTAAAATGTTATTATGAAATTAAAGGATGTCCAGTTGCCCAGAGGTTTCCATGGCCATCTATTTGTCTTTATAAATCAAATAAATAAATGCATTTATATTTGAGTATTAGGAGGCTGAGCTTATGATGTTTTATTTGCAGTGCTTGAATACTGCTTATTAATTATTATTATAGCCTAGACAATAAAGTGCATTTGAACCCAGATCTCCACAGGTTAAATCCCATTTAAATCATGGAAGGAAATGGACATTGTATAAAAAGACTAAACATTTAACAACTGGGTGCATGCAAAATTCCACTGTTGAAATAGCAATACTATATACTAAACAAGCCTGAAAAAACAGATTCCTCCTCCTTTTCTGTTGCTGTTAATGTAACTGAAACATTGTTTCTTTACTTTAAAACAATGCTCAAACCATACAAGAGAGACTAGTATCCATTGTTTCACTGTCAGTGGTTATATGGCTAAAATTGCAATGGGGGGTTCAGGGGTTATAATAGAAAGCCTGACATAAATTTCAGCTAAAGTGATCAGCACTCACACATCAAGAGCAGGGTGTTGAGTTTGTAAAGGATGTTAGGAGCTGGGGAAGTACCTAAGTTTGGTAGTACAGGATAATGGCAGTAGAAACAGAACAGGAAACGCATGGACCAAACAGGGACAAGTGAGCAGAGTTATTTGCAATAGGAGAACATCTATCAAAGTGAAGACCCACAAGATGGTAATTAGGCCTGTGCCTTTGTATGGCTCTGAATGCTGCACAACTGAGGAACAGACCGGAGCAAATCTTGAATACAGTGGAAATGAAAATGTTGAGATGGATGCCTGGAGTTACAAGGGCGGACCATGTTTGGAGCAAATGAATTATGGAAAGCGTAAAGGTGGTACCAAATACAGAAAAGCTGAGGGAAATCAGGCTTAGATGGTTTGGGCATGTGAAAACAAGATCATATAAGACTATATAGGAAACAAGGTGTTAAACTTAGAAATGGAGGGTAACGGAAGGGTTGAAAGATCTGTAACTAGAGGCTTGGATGTTATACAAAAGGATTCGATTAGCTGCAGACTTTGAGGAAGTGCTTCAAGACAGACTGGAGTGGGGAAGGAATCAAAGAGTCAACCCCTTATAGACGGGATTAGAGCGAGAAGAAGAGTTAGGAACTAAGGAAAGGCATTTAGACTTTCCCTTTGTAGAAACTTCCTCCCAGTTCTTTTGATCCTTTCTGCTCTTTCTCCCTAACACCTTTGAGCCTCTGTGTATTTCTGGGCTTCCTGCCTTTAAAGTAAAACCTCAAATAAGTAAATGAAGGACTGGGCTTCTGACTGTCCTGCCTCTATTTCTAACTGCCAGTCAGCTCACTCCTCTCTTGGTTGGAGTCTTTCTTTTTCCTTCACTGCTATTTGGGGAGCATCGGTAAGGTCTGACAGTCAATGAGTAACCAACCTAAAATATTTGTTAATAGCTTAGAACTGCAGTATTTGTGCATCAGTAAGCCTGGGGCATTCATAAAAGCAGTCTTGAATGAGGTCACATCTGGGCTAAGGAAAGACAGTTTTTTAGAAAGGTCAACACCCTTACAATGAAGAAATGACTCTAAACTTTGCAATTAAAGGAAAACTGGTAAGGCACAATTCTTTACACTATAACCTGACACTTCTGCCATAGTACAACCACAATTTATCCCCCAAATTTTAGCATGGCAAACCTGCAACTCACTAACCTTCCTTCCTGTACACACACATCCCCCCAACACACATACGTGTTTTGATAAAGGTGTGTTTTTTATGTCTTTTTCCACAGAAAGAGATCTGCCAGACAGCCTGGATCAAAAAATCATAACATGGGAGGTGGTCCAAAAGGAAAATTATCTTGCAAACCTGGAACAAAAGGAAAAAGAAAGTAACGAAGAGAGACTAAAGAAAACATTTAACAAGTACATTTCTATTCATCTTTCAACATTTCTGAACCTGCTTTTTGATGCAGTGATCGGTGAACTTTGTTGCTCTGCAGGTTTGGATTAGGGTTGCCAACTTTCTAATTGCACTAAACCGAACATCCTTGCCCCACCCCTGCCCCGCCCCATAGAATCATAAAATACTAGGGTTGGAAGAGACCTCAGGAGGTCAATCTAATCCAATCCCCTGCTCGAAGCAGGACCAACACCAACAAAATCATCCCAGCCAAGGCTTTGTCAAGCCGGGCCTTAAAAACCTGTAAGGGCAGGTCTTCACTACCTGCTGGATCGACGGGTAGTGATCAGTCTATCAGGGATCGATTTATTGCATCTCATCTGGACGCGATAAATCGATCCCTGAGCACACTCCCTGTTGACTCTGGAACTCCAGCTTGCGAGAGGTGGAAGCGGAGTCGATGGGGAGTGGCAGCGGTCGACTTGCCGCCGTCCTCACGGCCAGGTAGGTCGACCTAAGATACGCCAACTTCAGCTACGCTATTCGCATAGACCAGTGTAGACCAGGGCAAAGGATGGAGATTCCACCACCCCCCTAGGTAACCCATTCCAGTACTTCACCACCCTCCTCGTGAAATAGTGTTTCCTAATTCCAACCTAGACCTCCCCCACTGCAACTTGAGACCATTGCTTCTTGTTCCGTCATCTGCCACCACTGAGAACAGCCTAGCTCCATCCTCTTTGGAACCCCCCTTCAGGTAATTGAAGGCTGCTATCAAATCCCCCCTCACTCTTCTCTTCTGCAGACTAAACAAGCCCAGTTCCCTCAGCCTCTCCTCGTAAGTCATATGCTCCAGCCCCCTAATAATTTTCGTTGCCTTCCGCTGGACTCCCTCCAATTTGTCCACATCCCTTCTGTAGTGGGGGGACCAAAACTGGATGCAATATTCCAGGTGTGGCCTCACCAATGCCGAATAGAGCGGAATGATCACATCCCTCGGTCTGCTGGCAATGCTCCTACTAATACAGCCCAATATGCCATTGGCCTTCTTGGCAATGAGGGCCCACTGTTAACTCATATCCATAATCTGGAAATGCTAAAAGAACAGGCTTTTACATGGTACTTTAACCGTGGTTCTTCTGATTCTGGCCATGTTCACAGTTGGGGGGAAGGTGAACCCTGGACTCAGGAAGGCTAGCCCCAACCCAGCCCACCCCTTTTGCCCAAGGCCCCGCCGGAGCCCAGAGGCCCTTGCCCGCCCCTTCCCCAGCCCCTGGCTGCCTGAGCTCCACCAGCCCTGGAGCCCCGGGTGGCATGGCCCGCCTGCCTCAATCCCAGAGGGTGGGCAGCACAGCCCCCCCACAGTCCCCAAACACCAGGTGGGTGGCGCGAGCACCAGCTCCTGCCGCCCCGAGTCCCTGCCTGTGAGTGAAGGTCTTTGACTTGCCTCTGATGAATACCACTGTGGCCGAGTGGTCTGAGGATATGACTTGAAGTCAGGAACTCCTGATCCTGACTTTCACACCGGCTCCCCATTGTTATCACAAGGGAATTATTAATCACATTTATTGCAGTAGTGCATAAGGACCAGTCAAGAAAGGGGCCTCAATGCACTAGGTATTGTACAAACAGAGTAACAGAGACCCTCTGCCCCAAAGATCTTACAGTCAAAACAGGCCTGGGGTGGAGGAAGCAGTATAACAAACAAGGGCTGAACAATGTGACTGCAGCAAATGTCATGTTAGTTCCATAGTGTTTTTTAAACCTAGCTGAGTCTCCATTTACACCACATGAAAGGAGGAGGAGAACATTATCTGACAGGACTATTGTAAGGATGAGTTGATTTTTATATAGCATTCTGAAGATGGGAAGTACTAAGTTATTATCCAAAAGTATACCACATTATTTTAAGGGAGAAGTAAGCTATACATGTAAAGCAACACCTAAGGCAACATGAGTAAGCCTTCTTTGGGGAGGCATTTAATAACATGACTCAAATGCAGTATCTTGTGAAACTTTCATATAACTATTATTGTGAAAGATAGCCAGCATGTTGCAAAAGTTTCATTCAAACTTCAGTTTTGGCATAAGCAGACCGCAGTGAAATCAATTAGCTATGCTGTCTAATGGTTTTGCTTTGAGTACTCTTTCCAAACAAGCCTTGGCCTTTCTAATTTATATCATACCCAGAGCCTAGAACAGCCTACTTGAATATGCAGGGGAAATATCTTCCCCTCCACCTAATCTATACCAAAAAACTGCCTGATTTGATTGTTTATTCATAATAATTTAGAACAACTAGATTATTTTTACTTCAGAGGCATCAAAGAATCACAGACTTACTTTAGAACTGTGGCCCTGAGAATAAGCAAGATGGACAAGCAGAGCCAAATAGCTCTTATAGCAAACAATAAAAATGCATCTAATTGCCTCCTAAAAGAGCCTTTTTTTGATAATGACATTGTTAGTTTTAAATATTGTAAGTTAGGGATAAAGTTACTGGTTTGTGGGGTCGGGGTTGTTGGGGGGTGGAGGGGAAGAGAGAATAAGTAAGAACCAGTTTTAACCTCTCAGCTCCTGATCTGAAACAGAACCAGAAACTTTATGAAGTTGGTAAAGGTTCAGATAAATACCACATTTTTGGCTTTCTACCCTTGCTGGTGGCTGGCAGTAATTCTGGCTGTACTGAACGGGCCATTCTCTTGTCTCCAAAAATCTCATCAGATCCATAGCCTCCCAAGAAGCATAGACCAGCAACATATTTCTGGACCCCTGAGTGGCAGAAGCCCCAGGCCAGAACACATTAGATCCAAACCCAGCAGTCAGTAAGAACCCTCCCACGTAGATACTCAAGGAATATCACCAATGAAGGAAGAGATTTGAAAGAGCTGAATTCAGAAGAGGGATTTAGAAGTCAGGGGACCCTTTAGGGATTGTGTTGAGGCGTATGTGTGTATAGGGTGAAAGAGAGGAAGAAGCTGCCTGGGGAAAGGGCCATCGGGTGAAGTGGGTACAGACGGGGAGGCCTAAAATAGTTTGGATACATTCGGGTGAGCTCAGAAGAAGCTTTTGGACTTCATGGGGGAAGGAAGAGCTAGCATGGATATTTTGCGGTTTATTATTACTAGTTAGAAGTATGAAACTAGTTTCTGGAAACAGAACACTTCGAAAAAGTTCCAAGAAACAGCTAGTACTTCTTCGCTGGTGATAAAAATATTATAGGTGCAATCCTTCCAAGTTCTGAACTCACATGGGGTGCTGCTGTGGAAAGAGGGATAAGGAATTACAGCTGGCTTTACACCTTCCTGGATTCCTGAAGCAGTTGGAAACTGAATGGGTCATGGCACAAGTCCTAGTAACCTAACGACTGCTTTAACTCATGCCAGTATATAATGATTCCCTAGGGGCAATTAGCCCAGTGAGGACTGGCCAGAATGCAGTGTACTCCAGCCCTACCCCCTGCATTCTCACTGTACCCTCTCTCTATGCCACAGGGAATCCCCAAATGACCCTTTAGGGCAGGCTTCTGGGTGCTTGGTCCTACCTCAGCAGTGGAAAGCAGGCAGAAGTAGGGCTGTGCGTCTAGCTCTATGTCTGTTAAGAGTTACGTAGCTGTAATTTGCAGATGTCTTTGCTCAGTACGTGTCTCTGCTTTATTTGTATTAGGGTAGACAACCTGTCTAAATATTTTAGTGGAATGAAAGAGCAAGAGAAACGGCTAAGATCTCTAGAATCACAAGTAAGTAACACTTTTTATATATTTTGTTGAGCTTTTGCTAATATTCTCTTCATTTTTTGTTTGGACTGGACCTTGACCTTCTCTACAAGGAGGGGGTGGTGTTGACATGTAGGTTCATGCTGGTTCACTTTACATTACAAGGGCAAAAGGAAAGAGGATTCTGTCACCATTAGGGCCCCTGGTGGCCTTATTGTTTATTTCTGTGGAAAAAGAGAGAGAGAGAAAATCTTCACTGGCCTGCCAAATGTTAGAGACAAGGGGGAGGGTAACTGCATTTCTCTCTCATTCTGCTGGTCCTGCCACACCAACCTCTCCCTCCAGTGGACTGTTCTCTTGAGGTAAATGCCGGTTCAATTCTCTTCAAGTAGCTTTCTGCCTAAACCTAACCCTTGAAGCCCTCCATTGAACTGTTAAATCTCTTAACAGCAGTCAAGTGACATTCAAAAACCCATGAAACTATTTTCCAGTCTTTGAAAATAGGGAAACTGAAATCACTTCCATGCAATCAAAAACCCTATGGAGCAGTTTAAGCAAGGGGACAACACATGGGCATCAGCTTTTGGAAAGTAAGATTTGATCCACGGATCTCAATGGTCACTCAAAGTGAATTTTGATAAATCCAAATTCTACTGTATATAAAGCATAAATGCCATTTCCAGCTGGTTTAAAAAAAAAAGGCTCATGCCTGCAGTGTTATCCTAAGGCTGAATATCATGGCTCTGAGAGAGATAAAAATTAACTATTTAGATATAAAAAAAATCCAACTGCCAGCCAGTGTCATATGTTAAAATTCTACATAGTTTATGAAAATGCCCACATCCGCTGACATAAGTTATATTTTCACTGATATGATCTACACTGACTTGTTAGCATATTGAATTCAAGACATTTCAAAGAGATATTCTAACCTACAAATATGCCACACTAATAATACAAGGAAATTCCATCTTAAGTTTCTGATGACAAGCAGCTGGTGTTTAAATAAACATTAACATTTGTAAAACAGCTTTAAAATGTTAAGCACTATCCAAGTACTAAGTAGTACATTTATTGTTTTCCATGTCACTAGAGCTCCCCAGTGGACTTTTGGCCTTGTGACTTATCTTATTACTTTTATTGCAGAACTTTTTTTCAATACATTTTTCACTGCTCCTTAAAAATACTTTGTATTCAATAAACAATGTTGACACCACATGTAAAGCTAGATGGCCAAATTCAACAGCAACACTCAAGAAATATTTTAAGCTAGATACATTCAGCCATCTGTTTTTCTGGTTGAAAGTTTGTGCCACCTACAGATGATATCTGTGTATATATAAGAATAGAAATGTAGATATTTATGGCTCAGACTATTTGATTTAATAGAAATGCTATTTATGAAGTTTAATTATTACTGCTTAGATTTTCAACGTTTTAGACTTGCAAAGGATAATTAATCTGAAGGATTACAGAAATTGAATTAACATAGCAATCACTACTTGTTTTGTAGGTTAACTACTGTTCAGCTGTTATTTCTTCCATGGCAGATACTTTAAGCAAAAATAACCTCTTGTGCAATAGACCAGTTCCAAAATATACAAGTGAGTATTTGAAACGATAATTGCAAAGCAAAATAGTGCAAGTGAACAATTCAGTAAAAGGGTGTAAATGGCAAAGAGGAAGAGGAATTATGTAGGGAGGTAATGGGGATGAAATTATGAAAAGGAGCATTTTGACTGCAGATCTGCAAAAGCTTCCCAACAGCAAGACATATTACAACACGGACTCTTTGGGGCTGGGATTTTCATTTATTACAGGTTTATCCAGTACCTAGGACAATGGGCCCCGAACCTGGCTGAACCCTAGGCATTACCATAATATGTTTAATAATTGTAATAGAATAGTAATTGTCCAGATTATCAAAGGATGTAAATCAGTGTCGCTCCATTGACTTCAACAAAGTTATACCTGCTTCCACCAATTTAGGATCTGACCTTGTAACACTGGAAGGGGAAGCCTCACTGTTTGAGACATTTAAATTTTGTCCAGACTAAGAAATAGGCAATACACATTAACAATCTTGCACTGTGGCTGCGGACAGTCTGACCTAATAGATGTTTTCCATGTCCAATCTTTCTTGTCTGTCAATAAATAAAATAAATAAATAAAATTGATACTATCAGGGGAGGTAACTAAGAACTCCACAAGGTCTTGACATGGAAAGGTCTCAAAACATTACAGATTACTCATTTAACGGCTGTCTGGGCCTGGGCCTCTATCTATGACTTGTGACTTTTTTGCCATCTTTCTCCTCCCTGACTTTTCCCAAAGTTTACCATGACAAACTACACAATCCTAGCTAATATAAACACAACTGACTGAAATTTTCCCAGTCACGTAAGGGGTAATGTGGAACACACAAGAATATCTGCATAGTAAAGCATAAGATTCTCCAAACATTAAAAGTAGTTTTCAGTGTTCAACTTCTGGAGGAAAGCACAGATCACTCGACACAAAGTCATGAGATGGTTGAGTCTAAGTCCCTATACCTCTATTTCTCTCAACAGAGTTTGCAATAATGGACCGTTGTTAAAAGTGGCAGTAATAGCAAATTCTACCCCCCCACCCCAAGATTAGATTATGTAAAAATATTTCCATTCTTTTTCAAGAATTCCCTTGCAGCATTTTCTACCCAACCATTGTAGTACTATCACTGCATGAGAATCAGAAATTGAAATTGACCAGACACTAAAACAAAGGTTTTTATTGTCTGAAGTGGAAAATGCAAAAATGGTGCAGCCTAGTATAGCTTTTCACCAACTGCTTACATTTTGTAGAGCTCCCCAAAGACCCCAAAAGTTATTGTAAGAGCTTATTTTCAGAATACTTTTAAACTAATGCATTGATTTTTTTTTTAATCCTGTTAGGTTTTATGAATACCAGCACAAATCAAACAATCCTACTAGAAAGAAGCAAAGGTAAAGAGCATACAGAAGAGTCTGAAAATGACATGATGTACATTGATAATTAAATTGAGTTCTCATTTCCTCAGATTAGTTTGCCATTTTGAAGTACTTCTGGGGTGAAATCCCAACCCCACTGAAGTCAGTGGCAAAACTGCCATTAAGTTGTGGGGCCAGGATTTCACCACTGATATATTTGTGTATCAGAGGTCTTCTATTTCCTTCTCACTGTATTTATATATGTAGTTAACAGGGCAGTGAGATTTTTTTTCCCCCCCACTTCATCCCCTGCCCTTACACACAGAGTGCCTACCATATTTCTCTTCACCTATTTACCCACATTAAGGAAAAGCAGATCAATTGCTAGAGGCAATCACCTGTGATATATAAAACTCTTCTCTGTCCATGTCAGACTTCCATCCTCCTTTGCCCTGCAACTGTGTCTTGCATGAATCTCTGGATCCTCAAAAAGCCTGCCATGTTGCCAGACAGGGCCCACGCTACACTCCAGAACCACTTCATCTCCTGTAACATCTGCGCTGCATGCGCTCTTTGTTGCATCCTCCTTTCCTAGCTTCTCCTCCACCTCCCGTTTCCTGGTTCTTATCCTCCCATCTAATCCATACTGGCAGCTCCTGTTTTAGCCATATAAAGGCTCTCTCCTCTACCCTACTCTTGTAGCCTGTGTACTTCCTCCAAGCTTTTACTTCATCAGTCATGATAATAAACATATTCACTGCCCCCGGTACATTCTCTGATGCCCTCCAGACTGATACCATCACTGTATTTTCTAAAACACTTCTGTGCCTTCCAGTCCCTTCCAGATACCATCCCCATCTCAAATCCCACCTCCCCCTTTTTTTTTTTACTGAGGACTTCATTTCTTGATTATTATTCCCTGTATTCTTCCCAGAGGAATTACTCTGACAAAGAGCGTGATACTTACTGCAGTAAAATTAGTCGTCTCATCTGTTTGCTGAAGAAAGCTCAGTTTCATGGGCTCTTTACTTCCCTAGAGATTGTTAATCAAAAGCTAATCAGGAAATAACCCAGGACTTCAACAGCATAGAGGCCAGATTTTTGCACTGATATAGTTTTTCTCATCCCCAAATGGTTATACTTTCCAGCATCTCCTCCTTATCTTGACTACGGTAATTTCCTCCTTTATGGCCTTTCCTTAATCCTAACTTCTCTCATATGCAGAAACTGAAACATCTTTTGTCCTCAAGTCTTCACTGGCTTGCTGTCCATTTCAAAACCCAAAGTACATAATCGTTCTACTACCCTCACCCCCTTGATTCTATCCACTATGCTCCCTGAGTGCCAGACTTCTGCCTGCTGTCTGTGTTGCTTTAGTAGTAGGCAACAGAAACTCTCCCAACGCAGCCCCAGAAGTTGGAACAGCTCCCTTACCTCCAAGAAATCTTCTGACTTTTCTCATCTTCTTGTCTGACTCTGAAAAATCAAATCCTACCCCACAATCGTTTTTCCGAGAAACTAGACCTATGAACATTTCACCGTTTGTCTTTTCATTACAGTAGCTACAAATATTACACTTGTATAGTTGACATTATGACTTTATTTGTACATATAGGCTGTGAAACCTTGTTATACTTTTGTATGAGTCAGCATACACAAATAAACCGAATTTTACTACTTAAAAGGTTCTCTTCCTGTAATTTTATACAGATAGTGCCCAACCTTTTGGATTCATGGAAATAACACTACTATTAGCAAAATGTACTAGACATCTGTCTTTCTTGGATGGACAGGCCTCAATTAAATTGGATTTCCTTGAAAATATTATACCTGTAGGCTCCTATGTATCATAAATACTGATCCTGGTAAGTTACACACCTCCCCAGTCAGGTTTATTGATCTCAGAAAACCACCATCACCACACCCACCCACAAAAAAGGAAGATCGGGTCATAATGCCTTTTATGCTCAGAAGCAAGAGGTTCTTGTTAATGGAAAGAAAGCTGTTGAGGACTTCCTCCTACTATAGGAATTTGCTCATTTTATTTTCAAGTCAGCTGTGCCATATCACTGTGGCCTACACAGGGGAGTAGTTTTGGCATCCATGCTACAAGTTCATTCGCCTTTAGGGACAGAGAAGTGGAACCAATGGCTACTGCTTTAGGGCCATTGTGTGTTTAGGAAGTAGTCAGTTTGTCAAACCAAAACACTTCCTGTCATTACTGATGTCATCAGTGAATTCAGATCCTTATTTGAAAGCAAAATATATGGTGACAACTCTGGAAGTTATACCTCATCTGAATTTTTGTATGTCCCCTTCAAACCAGCAGGATTTATGTATCTAGGTATGTCCTATGAATATCCATAGACGAATTGTTCCTCATTGTTGCACTCCAAGCCAATCTGTCCTGGACAAGGTCGGTTTCACAAGACTGGCACTATTGCCCCATCCTCTACCCATTGTACATTATAGGTTTCTGGAAGCAACCACCAGGTGCTCTGGACTGCACAAGCAAAAAAGCAGCCATAGTTCCTGTCCTACAGCCAATAATTTTCTCTCTAGAGATTTCAAGCACCCTATCAGTAATGTTCCCAAGTTTGCATGAGGGTTTAAGCAATGGATCTCTAGCTACAATGAATGAATTTAGTGAAGTTGCACATTCCAAGGAAAGAAGAGATGGCCTTTTACTGTCCAGTTACAAATATTACAATTTGGCTGATTAATTGTATATTATTAAATTGTTAATCTAGAACACTGGCCATGATAAATCAAGCCAAAAGGCCTAAGCAATATGCTGTCTTTTATAGCAGTGTTTCTCAGTCTTTTTGATACCAGAGACTGGCTTGCTGCCTTCCTGTCAGGGAGATCTCAGGGACTGGTGCTAGTCCATGGACCAGTCACTAAGAAACATAGTATGAATATCCATTCCAAGAACATAACCTTTCAACCTCAGTTTTCCTTCATCTAACCAAAGGCAATGTCAGTACTTACTAACCTGCCTCACAAGAATGTTTGCAAAGTGCTATGTAAAAGTTCAACATTCATTGTAGTTCTGTTAATGATTCCATTTGCACTTGTAAACTATTCCAGTGTTACAAAAAAACAAAGTGGTAAGACCAAGAGAGGGGGAAAAGCCTCTCTCTACATATTTAGAGTAAAATCCTCTCAGATTCTTACCTGAAATCCCACCTTGCCAAATGAAACCATGTCTATACTTCTCTGCTAATATTCGTAGTTATTTGATGCTAATATACTTACAGGTGGAAAACAGACTCAGAAACCAAATTACAACTAAATGTTTTTATTGACATCCAAAGTATAAAGAGAATCTCTTAGTACAAGTCCTTCCCTTCCAATTAGTCTACTTAAGAGTCAAAATGGAAGCACTGCATCTTATGGAGGTGAGACATCAGCACAGCACATCACACGCACACAGGGGGAAGCTTGTGGCTGCTTGACCAATCAGTCGGCTGTCACATACATTTCAGTTGCACGCACAGCATGCTGAGAAGCGGCTGAGGCTCTCACGCAGGTCTTTGCTAAATGTTTCCAAAGATGTTTTGTCTCAACAGGCCTCAAGTTTCTTTTAAACTTTTACCAAATAAGATATATTAGAAAGTAACCAAGGGAAAATACTCAGACTACCTTAAAACCCATTTAATGGGCCACTCCTGATTGTGCCCTCTCAGGTCATGGCCAGTCACTTACTATGTTTCTATTTTCAGTGGCAGTGCGGGAAGCATGGCTCAATCCTTGTCCCACCTGTTCCCAATTAGGGACATACACATTAAGGGGAATCAGGATATTGATTTAATCCTACTGGGTTTGGTTTTTAATACTTTAAAACTCTACCTTCTATGCTCCTCTTCAATCCTGATTCCTTTTGATTCCAGACTTCTACAGCACTGGCCAGGGGGTTCTAATTTTTTTAAGAGGGTGGAAGAGTAGGGACAGGCAGGGGGTCCTCCTGGATCCCTCATTCTCCCTGCTGAAGTACTTGTGTTAGGATTCTCTGTGGTCAAGGCCTTGATGCTGTGCCAGCGTCAGTCAGAGGGGCTTGCTCAAGAAAACAAACCCCACTCCCTACCCCTCCAGGTGCTGTGTCAACACTGTTCCCTGCAGGTATAGGGATTTTGTACTTTAATTTCTGACAAACGTACTAAAAATAGTATATTTGGAGACCACAAAACTGAGTGCTAGACAAAAAACCTGCCACCTGCCTGGCTAGTGAGATCTGAGCTGAGAGAGAGCAAACAAAGGTAGCCTTCTGGAATAACACTGAAGCCTCTGGATGGGTATAATTAGTTTCTCTCTTAAGACTCTTCAGCCTCTTCATCGTCTGCTTTGAGACGGAAATGCTTCCTACTCCTTTTCTTACTACCGTGAAACCCTACGGTTTCCACCAAAGCATCTTCACCTGTGTGAGTGGAACCTGTGCCAAGTTCTCTTTTTGTACCCAGGTCCTCCAACTTCAGCCACTCCTCTTCCTCCACCGTCTTCTTCCCTTCAGTGTCTAAATGGCCCAGCTCAACTTCATCCTCTTCACTCAAGTCATTGCCCTTCTTGGGAGATTTCTCATTCAGACCTTGCTTTGTGTTCATGAGCTTCTTACCATCCTCCTCTGCTGGTCTTTTCCTTTCCAAACTACACATGCCTATCTTTGTGGGTTTGGTAAATATTATCCTTCCAGCACCATGGCTGGAGGGGTCCTGGTTGAAATATGGGGTGTAGCTGTCTTGGGTAGCTGAGCTTTGTTCTCCTCCTTTCTTCTTCAAGCCCTCTAGGAACTCCATGGCAGCCATCCTGTTGGTCTTATCACTAGACTCTGAAACTCCCTCCAGACTGTACTTTGTCCAGCGTTCTGGGTGTGCCACGTAGTCCGGGACTCCTGGAGAGCTTTTGGGAGCTGGGGGTGGCTTGCTTTGCCTTCCAAGGCTTTCTGCAGCCATCTTGCTTAAAGGAGTGGGTGGGGGCAGAGGGCGCTTAAACCTCCCATCAATAATGTTATCTTCAGCCATAGAAGGTACCGCTAATTTGGCTGCCCCTTCCAGGCCGTCAAATATGCTCTGGCTCCGCAGCGAGAAGGTAG